TAACTGATTTTACAATTTAATTAGTTGTTTTGTGTCTTTTGTCAGGTTAGCCTCTCTGGCAGGTTTATGTCTATTTCTCAGTGTTTTCTCCTCAATAAATGTGTTATCTTTTGTAGATAAGCTATTCCACCAGGACGGGATGAGGGAGGTTCTACAAAGAAAACATTGTTCAATATTACAATTAATGAAGAGGTACATTTATCAAATATGACTCAAAGCTCCAGTTTAGAAATACTGCTATGAGACCACTACAAGCTCACACATTAACTTATTGATTTTAAAGCAGAAGCAGGATTTTCATTTTCCTGAGCACCAAAGTTGGTAGTAAACTTACTTTTAAAAGTAGTAAATACTCATGAACTTCTCTCTAGCTTACACTCCAGCCAGGATCACTTGTTTCTGGCCAATAGCTTTAAAGAAAATACGTCTAAAATACTGGAAGGATAACCTAAGCTCCAGAGTTGGTAAAAAAACTTACTTGTAAACATGTACACTTCCATGCATACTCCAAGGTCCTCCTCTCCCAGGGTCATGGGTCCTCTTCTAGGGTCATGGTGAGAAACATAGAGACATCTGCTAAATTCTTCCTTGCGAAATTTGGAGAATGTTATTGTAGAATTAAGTTACAGCTTTAGATACAACAGATTATTTCTTTATTTCAAGCCTAGAAAAGACGCAAATTAAAGAAACAGCCAAATGAAATCTCAGGCTAATGACAAAGATAACGGCCCATCATGTAAACAAGATTTGAATTTACATCAAACAACGAAAACAAAAAAGGGCTCTTCGTCCGAAATATCCGAAAAGCAAAAGTTGCTTTTAAAAAGGGGCTTTTTGTCAAAATAACAAAAAAATTGCAAATCTTTGATTAAAAAGGGTATTACTGATAGAGAATACATGGGCGCGCGTAGATATCAACTCGATAACTCACGAGTGAGCGCAGCGAGCGAGTGAGATGTCGCGTTGAACACGAGAAGAGAAATTCCATATCTACAAGTAATCATGTATTATTTTGTTTATCATATAAACCCAATAGCCCTTTACTGACAAGAAAAGCCGACTTAATTAATTAATGAGAATAAATGAATCGACAATCCCCAAATAACAATCGTAGAGTGCGTTGGCGCTAACTCTTAAGATAGAAAAACACGTTGAATCACGATTACAAAAACAACAATGGTCGTAATTTTCAATTTACAAAATTCTCATTTATTTACTTTGTCCTTATCGACAGAAGAAGTCTTTCAGGTAAACGGCAAAAATCGGCCAGTGGCAAATCTTCCAGATGACGATTTTCATTCTCAGCCGCGAGAAATGCCAACACCAAAGCTACTGAATACTAAACTTTCGGTTTTTCTTTTGGTATATTGTTTTTTCCCCTTCTAGGAAAGTTCGAACTTCACTGTCTTTCAGCGATACGGATTTGTAAGTGTTTTAACCGTCACAATCCGAGAAAGTTCCAACAAACTACCTTGTATTGAAAGTCGTGAAAGCTTTGCCTCTTATTCATAAACCTGACCGAGTGGCGCCAAATGCGGGTGACGTTCAGCAGCTGATTGGCCATATCAACACACGTGAAAAAATACGATTATTTTTTTTTTCAACTGTGTTGTTACGGGTTTTCTCAGGGCCGGAAATCCCTGTATATCACCGCAGTTTATGTGATAAAAAGTTTTATCACTCAGAGTGCTCACTCACTGAGCACGAACCACGCCATATTGCTGATGGGCAAGTTCAGCAGAGATGAAAGATTAGAGATGGTTCCCCGCACGATAACACTTTCAAAGCACGATTTCAAGGGAGAGCATTTTTCCAATTTTATTTTACGACATGGCATGTCTACTGCTAAGTAGTTGACAACTTCTGGATAGAAATACCATCGACCGAAAAGAAATAAAGGATTTATGAAACGAAGCTTCGATCTAGAACCACTCTTGAATATGTAAATGGCCTAGCTTCTTTTGAGAATTATTTCATAAAATTTTACTTGTTTTCATGAGCGTCGATAAACACTTACCTGCCAGAAATGATACTAATCGCGTCCCTTGGGTGTGACAAAACTGACGAGAAACGAAAGGCTTCTAAAGGAGGAGACACTGTCTTAAGGCTAATGTGACAAGAGTTGATCGCTGATGTTGAATTTCTCGAAGCTTGTGATAATTTCAAAAAATGCAAATGTTCAATTGTAGAGGAGAGAAAGTCCTAAAGTTTCTTAAGTGTACGAAGCACATTTAAGAAATGGTTTAATTTGGTTCAATTTTGCTGTGCTTGAATTTTAGCATTATCTCATCAGTCTCCATGTAAGAATCTTCATTTTGTAAGATACTGAGAGGAGCTCTTTTTGTTTCTTTTATGAAGATGGGTTGCAGCCAGCAAAAACAAGCAAACTAAATTCATGTCCATGTGTCCCAGCGTGCAAGGCTTAATGTTTTTCAGAAAAAAGGGAATTGCAACTATTGACAAAAATAAATGAACATTACATGAATACAATACATTCAAATATAAATGCAGTGTCATTATTTATTCAGGCAAACAAAGCAAAACAAAAATCATACTTCTACAACCTAATATGACAGGGACTTCCACAAATCCTTGAATCAATGCCTGCGTAAGTTTAAAGGGAAAATCAGGGAAGGAATACATTTGTAACTTAATTTTAACTACATTTTATCAGGCCTGGACACTAACTTTCCGTCTGACTTTCTGCTGAGGAAAGTGACAACAATTTGACAATTTACTTTCCATGCTAATTTGCTGTTTCTCCAGAAAAGTTTCAGATTTGTCTATTTCTTGCCATAACCGAAGGTATTCATTTCGGCAACACACAACCATTGCCAAGCTGTATCCAATAGAAGAGTACTTCAGACCACTATTCTTAAGTTAATTTGTAAACTGTTACTGGGGCAACTTAGGTCTACTTAGCCAATAACACCTCTTTTCAGGCTTTGGTATGAGTCAGCAAGATAATTATTTGCACTTCTCTTTGTTCACTTCACTCAGGGTACATGGTTGCTACTTTCAACAATCTACTATCCAAGATCCTAACTACATTCACGCTTCATGTTACAAGTTTCTTTGTCCGTATTGATACAAAAATGAAATAAAAAAACCCATCAGCCAAGTTAATGACTAAACATTACTAATAGCAGGGTGATTAAGATGCATGAATTATCAGATACAGTCATCTTTTGTTGTAATATTAACCCAAAACATAAATGTTACATTATTTGCCTAGTTGTTATTCACACTTCCTCTTATCTGATTTGTAACTCTCCTTTTCAGCTATCAAACATTTTTAGTAAATCAACTATGGGCTGTGGTGTTACGACAGGATAACTTCGTTTAGCTGGTGAGTGTCTTTCTCCTCATAACCTCTTTAAAGGACAATGTACTGATGTAGTAAGGAGAAATACTTGTTACATTACTTTGTTTTATTGGGCTATTTATTTAAAAACAATGCTATCTTCCCCATTTCTCTTGCCTTACTTGCCATAGTGGCTAATCCACACATTGAAATCTTCTGTTGCCTAGTTGTGATAGTGTGTGTCAATGTCCAGCATTGCCCCCCAGTTGTGAACTTTCCAAAGAGGAACTTGATCTTTCAAACAATAGTCTCCAGATGTGCTTAAATATACTTACAGATACTGCATTTTTGTACCTTACTTAACAATCTGGCTGCTCATCTGCAAAATAACACCCACTTTCTCCATCTATCTGTCTAGAAGTGATGTATAAAGGTATCACTTACTCAAACAATATTTTTTTTTATTTCAGTTTTTGTGATAACCAGAGCAGCAGCAGTCATGTAATGTAATTCTTACCACTTGGGTGTCTGGAGGCCAAGTTGATTTCTAAAGGACAGCATCTATATTTAAATTTCCAGCCCATATGAGGACAATTTTTTAATGGTTGGGAAAGTCTTAACAATCTCAAAGCGCTGTAAGAAGTAAATTATTTAAATTCATATGGCTTTTCTACAGTCAGGCCATGAAAATACAGTTTCTGGAGCATACTAGCCTCTTCTTTAATCAAGAAACTATGCAATACAACTGTGTAATTATATTTCTTTCAGAATGATTAACTAGTCTAAAAGTTTACATAAAGCCCTTTGTCCAAACTAGCTTGCTTTCTTGTTATTCCATATCTGCTGCTACAAGGACTTCTAGGAAGGAAACACTGCGCAAGAGCAAACCTGTCAGCTGCTGAGTAAAGACTCAACAGCTCTTTCTGAATTCCAGGAATGTGTTGACAGGGCTACTAAACTTTGCATCTATTTACAAAGAAAATAAAAGTAGACATTACAAAAAAAAAGAACAGAAAACATTCTCTGACTCTTTTAAAATTGACTACAACAGAAATATCAAAAATAACTGAAAACATTTTTCTAAGAGAACTTAGAATTGAATGGTTTGAGGTCCAAGGTAATATGCCTATGATAAATATAAACCAAACTTTGCTTAAGAGGACTAATAAGAGAGCAGAAGAAGAAAATTTCTTCATTGTATCAATTTTTTTGAAAAGATAACACCAAGTATTAAATAAGTCTATATTATTACAGTTGTGGTAAAATGCTGACCTTGGTAAACCCCATTGAAGTCAATCGCAATATTTTCTGTTCAAAATCAACATTGTGCGAAGAGGGAGCTGGATGACCAAAAGTCAAAAGAAGAAACATTAAGCAGAGTATAGTGAGAGCAATAAAATGCTTTTAAAAAAGGACTGGCCATAATGTCATGAATTTCCAATACACATTGATACTCATTGTAGTCTTTTATTACTTCATTTGTAACACACAATAACTAGCGTCCTACTCTACACATCACTTGCCATGTGAAAACTTAGTAGTTGTAATTATTTTTAGTCAGTAAGGCTAAGTTAAATTAAAACATGAATCCTTACAGGTGTTAAATGTTTAAATGTAGTAATTTCAAATCAACAAAATTAATGTTGCCTCCTGGCACTGTACTCATCTGTACTCAAATTTTGACTTTGATTTGAAACCTACCTCCAGCATATTCTTCAGCCCAGTGTTTTGCTGTCCTCCAGTACACTTCAGGGTGTTCTTTATACTTGTAAAACAACACAACGAATCATTAAAGAAGTTTGATAAAAATGACTAAGAAAACACAATTAAATCTACTGTTGATAATTACTTCCTAAGCTAACCAATCAAGCACATTAACATCAGTCAAAATTAACTGGTGTCAAGGTTCAAAAAGATAACCAAATTTTTGAAACCAAAGAGAGTTGATGTCATAAAGACTATAGCCAATAACAAAAATCTGAAAAATTGATACAAAAAAGGAACAAATCTGCTTTATTCATGCAATTAGCAGTGATGACTTGATTTGATTGCTACAGAGCCAAATAAAACCTTAGCTTGCATGAGCACCAAACCTGGCCTTGACACAATGTTATTAAACAGATTATGTCAATTACTAAGAATATGTTGAATTTGTGTAAAATGGTTAAATAGTATAGTTTTCAGAGCATTCAACAAAATGATAGACTCTTAACATGTTTTTGTTGTTTGTTTTTTTTTTAGTCCCCTGACTATCTACCATCATTTATACTAAGTGTACCCTTAATTTCCAAGAACAGCTTAGAGAAAGCTTAAATTTACTTTAGGAGGACCAAACAATTGACATGTTGCAGTGAAGGACAAATGTAGCCATAAACATTTTGGCATTGTTATTGGAAGCAAGACAGACTGAGACACAGAGAAATTTGGCATCTCCTTTGCAACAACAGACACTGGGCTCTCTAATGGTGTGTTTGGAATATTTTATGCTTAATATTACCTCAGTGACCTAACTACTGCACAATGAGACCATTTTACTATCTGTTTGTTACCTGTTTAGCTACAACTGCATCTTGAGGGTCGTCAGGCTCAGCTGCAGAGAGTAAAGCCTAAAGAAGACCATTGGCAAACCTCACTAAATTACATATACCTTTGGTATACTGGTAGGTATTATTATTTTTCAGTCAAGTGAATGAAATTAGTTTTTGTCTTTTGAATGGAGTCCATTTATGCCAAAGTTTTGCTGTATAGCTTCTTATAAGTAACCCAAGAGAACTAAGACAACAAAATGTAAATCTGAAAACACTTCTGTAAAGAAGCATTAATCAACACTAAAACGAGTAAAAGGGCAGCAAGAGTAGATTGTATTAGCCACAAATTGTCTCAACAGGTTCCTCTGTGATTGCAGTTAAGTTACTTTCATAAATGATTCAAGACATCTCTCCAGTATCAGGTATTTCCTTTTCATTTTTCTTATTTACTACAGATTGGGAAAGAAAGGAAAAGATCAGAACACTTATGAGTGGTAAGTGATGACACTTCCTAATATTCTTGGACTCTTTACTTTACTTTCACACATAGCAAAGTGTTTTACACTTAATCATGAACTTGTCAGAATATACACAAATTCTCTCATTAAAATTATGCAAAATAAAAATTTTGGGATTTATGCCAAAGTTGAAAACAGTAGCTACCTCACCTGTATTGATAGGAGCACAGTACGCAGTGTCATAGCCGCAGCCCTGAAAAAATATGAAGTCTAGCCTTAATAATTACACTGTTGCCCAAACTGTCAGCTTTATCCCCGAAGTCAGTTATTCGGAACTTTCACTAGTCTAAACTTTATTGACTGAGGAGAGTAGCCACCTCAAGGGGTGGTAAAGGTTACTTAGTAAATGACTTGTGTTGTTTCTGGATGAGAGTTTATGCCAATATAGGAGCAATTTACTTGTCTTCTATTTTTGGGAATGGCAGAAATACATTTCTGAGGTTGAAACTGCTCTTATCTGAGATCATGATGAATAGTTCTTACTCTAAAATATCTACTTGAGCAAAAAAGGGTTCAAAAGTGCACCCAAAACTTTCCAATACTTTGTTTTTTCTTCTGAGTTTGCTGGTTAGGAGCTTAAAACATAAGTTATAATTCATACCACTGATCTTTTAAGATGTCCAGGCATATCACTCCTGTAACTGAACTGATATTTGGATGCCAAATTTTTGTCACAAATTGTACCTAACAAAAATGTGAATCTCACATAAGTCCATAACATAGAGGTGGTTCTTGAAATAAAAGAGAGAACTTGGAATTATCAACTGACTTGATAACAAAAATTGGCTACTGTAAAGAGTTTCAAAGTTGACATTTTGAACACTAGTCCTTCTGACCTTTGAAACATCAGCTTAAATTAACATACAGTGACTCACTTATGTTATCAACTCATTTGATAATACCAAATTATCTTGTTATACTCTCCCAACAATGCAGTATCACAGTTTCTAAAGAAACTTATCCCTTTATTCATTGAATAAAATAGCCTCACAAACTGTAAAAGCTCACATTGGTAAGCTCACCTTCGGTGGGTTAAAGGGATATGTTTCAGGGATGTTAATATCCAGTGTATAGGTTCCATCTGGGAAATAAAAAAATAAAATTAATGACAAAATACTTTTCTTGGTACACTAGAGATGATAAAAATGGAACAGTTTTGTGTGGACAAAAGGTAGATGAGTAAAAGCGCAAAATGTGTTGACCAATAACCTGGTGTGTGAACTTACAAATACAGGTATATGCTCAGTGAATTATGAAACATGGAGCCCAAACAGTTAAAACCTTTGCCAATTCCTTATAGAGAGCTTGGTTCTATATTCCAGTCCTTTTCCTTTACACCAAATGCACAAGGCCTCTTTCACTCATAAAAACACAAATTAACCCTTGAGTTCTTTAAGAACTCAAATTTGCTTTAAAAACATTCAACTGAAATAATTTAAGTCCTCTCTAAGGGTAACTTTCCCAAAAGACAGGCCACAAATGGATAACCCTAACTTCTTCACAAAGCTTCTTACTTTTCTGGCTCCATGTACATAAAAACAAGTTTGTTTAACTAAAGGTGTCAACCAGCAGTAAAGTGAAAGCTGTAAGCCATTACACAACTACACTACATTGGATCTGAAAGTTAACCAACAATGAAAATCGAACCAAACAAACCACTGATATTTCAGATTGGTAACATAGCTAGTTGCTGTAGGTTTCTTCAAAACAAACCTTTCCCGGAAGACACACTAATCTACTTTACTAATCACAACTTTACGAAATTTGCGAGGTTACCAATGCAACTGCAGTAAACACATTTTAGTAAGCTAATCGAGATTCAAAAAATAAAAACTTCACTCGTATTCTGAAGAGAAATTTTGAAAAACCAAAGTGTTCGTTATTTGTAAATGCACACGGGCATGTCCGCACTGTAACAATCATACCTTCAAAAGGAGTGCCTGGAGGTCCAGCTATTTCGCCTCGCAGCCTTGTGTATGAGTTGTCTACCAGTTCAACTTTGCACTTCAACTGTTACTCAGAGATATACGTCAAGATTTTATTTAGTTAAAAGCAGTCACGTGTAAAGAGAGTCGAACGATTTACACAGAAATTTCGCAGGTACAGAGGAGCAGTGCAAAACCATTACGAAAGAAACAAACTAGGCACAAACCTCTTCGCTTTTGATGACCTCTTTGAATTCCCTCTGAACTCTCTTTATAGCAATATTAGCCATTCTAAATTTTTTTACAATATTTGAACAAAAAAGGGTCGAAAAACAGTTTAGTTCACGCACGGGTCCACATTCTTGTCCCCAACTTCTTCTTTACAAATCAAGGCTTTTACAGGAAGTCACAGGGAAGGTATACGCGCGCGCGGTGACATGGGTAGAAAGACCAGTCCCGCGCGGTTGTTCTCTCGGTTGTTCTCCCGGTTGTTCTCCCTGTTTTTCTTAAGTACCAGTCGCTGTTAACGTTTGTGGGAGGTCGGAGGATTTTCTTTTAGAGGGAAGGGTCATATGGTTTTCAGAGGGAAATGAAGGGGGTTCAGTAGTCGTCAAAAGACAGCGACCATGGAAAATTGATTAGTGATTAACTGTCAATGACGAGGGGATCACAATCACTATCGCGATTATGCATGGCAACTACTCTGCCACTTCTTGCGTCTGTGGCAACTTTTTGCGGTTCTAGCAACTTCGAGCAATTTTTGAGCGAAACATAGGTTTAGAGCACGTATCAAGCGTAAAAAATTCAATGATTTTCAATGAAAAACTGACACATAACCTGTCAGCTGACAACGTTTTGCGGGCCTTCTGCGATCTTTATATAATATCATACCGGATAATTGCTTAAAAGGGCGTTCGGTAGTACGTTAAATGAACCATGCGTTCTGTTTCATATTAGACTTAAGTATCCTTGAATTTCGTCAATCTTTCCGAGAAACTCTTAAAAGCTAAGTTTCAAACTATTTTTCTTGACTGATGTCAGCAATTCAGTTAGTATTGTCACGAGCGTGGGACAAAGAGAAAATTCTGGCTGCCCATGAGGAATCGAACCTACCACTGAGCCTCTATGGTGACCAAGGCTTATTACGAAGTTCATATATGATACGTATCCTGCATACTGCTAGGATCAGCAATGTCGTTAGTGTCATGTTTTTGTTAATAGAAAGATGGTAAGTTTTCAACTCGACAAAGAAATGAAGAAAGATGTTTTTTCGTCTTGTCACGAGCGTGTGAGAAGGAAAAAAATTTTGAGTCCCCATGAGGAATCGAACCTCAGACCGTAATTCGGATTCCGCGTTCCGCTTACCAATTTCTTATCCTTTTTACAATAATAACAAAGTAGGTAATGTAGTTGGTCAAGACAGCTGATAATTTTCAAGCTCCCTGCTAATGCTTGTTGCAAAGCAAATGTTTAGCTTTCTAAAAATTTTGTATATAAGCATTTTCCGATCAAAACGCGTGTAGCATCTTAATGCTTTGGAGAAATAACATTTCTTGCGTGAATTAAAATTTGACTAGATATTGAGCGCTACCTAAAGAGTAAAATAGCTAACAGTTTATGTGATTTTCAGTTCATCGGGATTTCAATAAATGGAAATACATTGGAAATTCAGCACTGTTTTTACTCAAACATCATTTCCTTTGTGGGTGAACCGATACAAATGAGACTCTTCTAAAGAAGTTCATAAACAATATTTATTTGCAGTCAGCCTGTGGCCAAGAGTGTCACTTCTGACTTAAATCATGCTACTCAGGAGAAGTCCACAAGTGTTTTTTTCAGAGAAGGCATAACCTAAGAGACTGCGCACGCCTGCCCTTCCTCTCCCTTGGCTATACCAGGCACTACGAAGAGGGGTGGCAAGAGCACTACCACTTGTCCCCACCGATTAAAACGCTGACTACCTTCGCTGCGCATGTGTCAAGTGGTCCTAAGCACTATTATTAGCGGCTATGGCATCATAGCCTCGTGTAATCCTTGTATGCAGCCAACACAGAATTCTGGGATAGGATTTCGAAGAAGGCAGTGTGAGTTAATATGACATTAAGTGTTTGCTATAACATTGCTAAAACGTTCCTCAACTTGTCATTGATTTTGCATCCTTCGAGTTTCCAGCGCAAGGCGCAGAAGTCAGTCTCTTCTAAAACCATACGTCTCTCAGTTTGATCATGCTGCATGGCTAAGCTATAGCAGTAGTACAAATACCGCTCAGAGAACGCTGCCACAGCCGTAAACACATCCAGGTCAAATGCACGCATGGATTTCTCGATATCCAAGAGTTCGAGAATAGCATTTACTTGTGCGACGTTGATGGACTGGGCGTAAAGATCTCGGAGGGCGCTTTGGAGTTCTCTCTTGTTAATAACGCCGTCCCTATCTCGGTCAATTTTAATGAAATAATGTCGATAAAGAGTCTTGCGGCGACTGTTAACACGGCAAAACTGAGATACGTATTGCAAAGGAGACAGCTGCTCAAGAACAAGCATGTCCATTGGAAGCTCAAAGCGACAACTTTGCCGTGATATAGAGTGGGGGCCTTGTAACCAAGCTTTACTACTGTCCGACTTGACCCGTTTACTTTCTTCTTCCTCAAGACCTCCCATGATCTTAAGCGCTTCCACCGACGGAGTGCAGGATCCTGTCCCACTCTGTGAAGAAGAAGATAGGGTTCGGGAGAAGATTTGATCACCCATAGTTGCAACCTTTGGGAATAAAATCAAACTAAACTGGAAACGCTTGCTTAATTTTGTGATCTGGTAGATTCCTCTGACAATGTTTCCCTTGTGAGAAGCCACGGGCAAAAAAATATAAAGTAAACCGACGTGTACACTCTGAAAGATGAAATTCAGGCTACTTCGCAGATGAACTTAGAGCTTTGTCGTCAAACACGCAACTCTCAATATCCTGTCATAGAACAACAAAAATATTCCGGTTACAGAGAGTAAAGTTTCTTGCCCTCTTTGACTTGGAATAAATGTTGTTTGCTCTGGGAAAACATTTCTTCTTGTGTTGCATAAGGAGCACTTGTAAATAACAAGTTGATCTTGTAAAGTTTCCTGTTGCTAATTGTGGATAATGGTGGTTACGCTCTCACATTTGACTTGCACATTTTATTTCTGACAGTGTACACATCTGCTGTATTGTATTTACATTTCTCAATATTTAAAAGCCTCCTGGTTTGCGTTTTTTTGTAACCAATACTGCATGTACTTTGCTATTGTGCTCAAATATATATCGCCAGACCAGTTTTACAGAATCGGTCATAACAAAGCTTGGATAAAGGTCAAAAACAAAGTTAAAGGAGGAAATGATCGGAGACGAAAACAATTATTAAGATTTACGGACATGAACTAAAACTTCAATGAATCTGAATTGCAAATTAACGACCAAGTTTTTCAGATTTCAATATTTATTTTTATGTTCCGCTGCCAATCAATTTAAAACTGAACAACGTATAAGTTGTCTAGGAAACATTACTATTTTCTAAACGACGATTAAAATGACAAAGGGAAAACTGTTAACGATAGTTTTCTTTCTTGCTTTTCTCTAGATACAATACGGTCTTATAGCGTCTGTTCATTATGTTAACAATGATTTTTACTGCCTAGACGATAGGATCATCTCTGGCTCCAGCCACACAAATGTATTTTATTTGAAAACGCATTTCTTCTGATTCATTGTCGCTTATTGTTCACATGAAATTGTCAATGAGAACGGAGCGTTCTAAAAAGGTCTTAAAACTGGCATAATGATATTTCATCGTTTAAGTTGGCACTAAAACAGATACTTTTTTACCCGCTGTACTTATGTGAGCAAGGCCCTACAGGGGTCCTCACAGCATATTATCTGACACTGTCTGCCAGTCCGAAAAAAGAAATAAAAGTTACATACTACAATATTTTATTCACAGCTTTCGAGCTTAATTTATTTTTAATTTTTGTTCTCTTTCTAACAGTTAATCTATAAATAAACTGACAATACGATTTAAATCATCTACTTGATTGACTGAAATATAGCTCCTGTGAAATTAAGTTCTATTTTTTCAAAACGCTTTAGGAAGCCAACGCGGTAGAGCTAAGCAGCTAACTGTGTGAAAAGGAATTGTGATTGTGTGTGTGTGAAAATATATGGCGTTTTCCAAACCCTGAATGATCCTGATCGAGAGCTGCTTAATTGATGAAGGTCTGGAACTGAGATTAGACTTAATCCTGCTGGTGTATTGCACCAGTTGTAAAAGTTGCGGTGATAGGCTCATTTAAGCGTATGTAATCTTTTTGGAACTTCAGGAAGTGGAAATCCAGACTATCTGAGGTCTTAATATTACAAAGTTTTCTGTCCGATTTTTGACAAGCGAAAAAAAGTTAATTTAGTCCCTATTATTTTTTAATTAAATGATTGCTTAACTCGAACTTGGAGTTACAGAGAAGGAAAATATAGAGAATAACAACACCTTTCTCCTCCGATGAGTTCATTTACTCATTTCAAGCTCTGCTGCGATACTACTTAATTTAGCATGCTCTTTTTAGCAAATAAAACAAAACAGTTGAACTGTTCTCACTGCTTTTTGCTTATGGTGAAAAACAAACAAACAAAAAAAATTGAGACAAACTCGGGGTCGTTAGACTAAGATTTTAAATTGCAAATGCTTAATGTACGGTTCTCAAGAAGACTTGCTATTTTACCAGAAAAATCGATTTTTCTTCCTTATCTCAGGTTAGTGATTTTTCAAACCCTCAAAGAGTTTCGGTCTAAAGTCTTTCATTCTCTGCAAGCCGACAGCTGACGGAAATCTTCGTTTCCTCGGTTTTCGGTCCAGCAATACAAAGCGAGTGCTCCGCCGGTTACTTCTACCATTTTGATTTCCTCTGACTTTCTTGGTGGTGCCGCCATGTTTCAACGCGATGAAAAAGTCGCCATTCTTGAAAGTAAAAAACTCCTTCTCTAACTGTACTCTGAAAATGGATCTGATCTGGTCTGGATGAATCTAGGAAAAAATATTGGACACCCAGTAAGCGTTTCACTCATAGCAACTTAGATGTAAGTAGTCGCATAAAGAAAAATTGTTTAGTGGGTAGTACTTTGGTAACTATATCTGATTGCATAGTAGGAAAACCATCACCAGATTAGTTAGAAGACAGTAGTTCCGAATTGAATCACTCCCGAATCTGGAAAGAAAATGATATTTCTCATCAGAAATTCTCACCTGGCTGACGAGGGTTCCATTTATCCCCATAGCGAGATATCTTTCAGTGGCCACGCCTTTTATCCGCACACTGCAGTTGTCGACAACTTCCATCGCCAGTTTTGCTGTAAAATGAAACAAACCAAACGGATAAGCATATTGATCAGTTTGAGGATCAGTTTGAAGCTTAAAAGATACAATCATGACTTAAAAGGCTACTGAAAATAAAGTTGCAATGTATTTTAAGAATAATGTTGGAAATTGCTAAATTGACCAACACTGCTGTAGAAATTGAACACGTTTAGCGAATTGCATTCATGATGTCCAAGCTGTGAGGTACAAAGCAATATCGAATCAAGATAACTAAACTTGGACTTCAGCATAAAATCCAATATATTTACTAAATATATCTTGAGATCTCAGAAATTGACGCAATAGAGAAATGTGATCCACCTCTCGACTTTTGTCTGGTGACAATAAGTTACTTATATGGTTTAGAATGTTGAATTACTTCTCCAAAACTTTCGTCTACTCTCAAACGCGAGAAATTTTATACGAGAGGGTTAATTTTCGAGAAAAAGACTTCAATTCCACGCGAGTGTTAAGAGTAAAGCAAAAAATAGTGCATATTCGTCAGCGTCTGAAAATTTCTAATTCGTACGATCATTCTCCAGAAATTAATTAAAAAAGTTATCTCACTTGGAAAAAAAAATTTCCGGTGCCCAAGTTAGAGCCACAAAACTGCAGACGATAATTGACAGGTGTAGCTTTGCGTTAAGTTCATTCTTGATCTGTCACTTGTAAGGCGGCCGCTACTCCTCTTTAATTCAAACAGGATATTCGTAGCGGCGGTCAGTTTTAGAAATTAATGATGAAATGCGTTCCGTAAAAGCGTTCTTTTCATAGGTGCACTCATAAAAATGATGACAAAGAAACTTATCCATGGCTCAGTACTGGGCGGGAGAACATACGAAGGCTAAGGAAAAACTACCTGCTTCCGAATTACATCGTAATAATAATAAAATAACCCTTATGTAATTGACTTCGCAACTGTTATGTTAAATCTGAGTCCGTCGGTGTCCAAATTTGCTGCATACGTTGGATTTGCGTCACTGAGCAGAATAACATCATAACACATTCAAATTGTTTACTTGTAACAAGACATTAACAAACGGGAAAACAAAGCCGACAGAGAGTTTGATATTGTAGATTAAACATTTGACGAAAAGCCGACAAATATCTGTTTGTTTTCACGGTTTGCGGTTTTCTGATTACTAACTAGATGCGTACCAAAATTACACTCAGCTAAGAAACGCGTGAGAAAATGATTCGCAAATGCATGATTTTTAATTGAACCTAACAGTAAACACTCGAGCTGCGAAGTACAGCCACGGAAAATGGATATGAGGTAAATGAACTTCCCTTGGGGTAGTGTTTCTTGAAGTCACTCTGGGTGAGATGACTACATGCTGAGCTTCATGCTGGGATATCTGCGTAAGAGCTCACCTCCCCAGCCAAGTTCTAAAGGAATACACCCTGTGACTTTGGTAAACACACCAGAACACTAAAACACTCTCTTGCCGAGTGCAAGCCAAGGAGAACTAAAACTTACAAAACATTTGTAATAACCGTACTTAAGTGATTATGATTAATCTAAATGCAAAGGTATGTAAGCTTGAAATCTGCAGTAAAACGTTTACTAAACACGAAGATTTCATTGTTGGACTTTCCGTATGTCGGAAGTCGTAGCTCGTGCATACTTTCTTTGCTTTGCGTGCAATTGCTATTTGATTTAGCCGACAGCTTGCTGATCCCGAGTTAAAGTAAATGAACCAAGGTCATGTCAGATGGATCAAATCGAAAATTTGAATAAGATAAGAAGCTTACTGTGTTCATGAACACTCAGAGTTCCGTTAATGGTGCCGTCCGGTAAAATCTGCAGAAACATCATGGCGCGGACAGACCACAAGGAGCGTGGCAGGGCCCAGCCGGGGGGAAGAATCGGAAAAATCGGTTGTTTACACAGTGCATGGTCGACTTGAGGAGTCTTCGGTATGGATTTTTTCGGTTGAGATCTTGTGGTTGTGACTTCATTGACATTTTTTCTTGCAATGTGTTGATTTGCGGATTGTAGTGAAGCATTTGACAGAATTAAAATGACCAGGATGACGGTGCGTCGCACCACATTCGATAGAGACATGTTTCCAGAGAGAAAGTACTGCTGCAAATAAAATGCCTTTATGAAATCAACCCCAGTTTTATGCAGGATTCAAAGGCGTCCCAATATCAGTGGAATGCAGCATTCTCACTAACAGCTGGATCAGTGAATTGAAGAATCAATGATATTAGCCTCGAAGAATTCAGTGGGAAATTTGAGAAAAATTGATGAACAAAATCAAAGCGAGAGAACTAAAACTGGTCAGGAAATAATCATACCTGAAGTAAACAAAGTGAGAGACTTCAAAAGCGTAGCGACAATTTTTCAGCAGCAACTGTTCACTGCTTAGGCTGGACAGAGTACGTGTCAAACTTCCTTAGCAGGAACATGTAAATCGCATTTACAGTCACTTATAAGTGCAGAGTTTTCAAAAGTCACTTGACAGTTCGACGTGCGAATTGATCTTCCTATCACGTTGTTTTGACAGTAATTTCTAAGTAGGATCTGCGGTTCTTTTAAGAGGTCCCCTACAGAACTTTGGTTCGAGCAAGACCTTCCGAGTCTGATACAACTGAACTTCTAGAGCCTCTTAAATTCTTCTTACAGAGAAAGCCAAAAAAATTGGAATGAAAACCACAGCGGGCGCTGTTTCCGTTTAGAAAACAATGGTTCCGTTCTTTTGTTGTGTGTCAATGAGATTGGCTTGTTCTTTGTAGCGTGTTGTGGAGAGGTTCGTATTAATTATGGCACTCTTTTCACACTGTTTCACGCCATGAACATGCAATTGACACCTACGAAAACGCTTTCAGCTTTTTAATGACTCGTTGCTGGACAAGTCGCAATCAAAAATCAGTGAAAAGGCGGGAACCGTCTTGATAACGACTTCGAAACAGGAAATTCTAACAACAATCACGAGAAAGAAATTTCGAGGGAAAAGAAAGATAACGAGTTAGTGTGACAAAAGAACTATCAGGGGGGCGGAGAAGTGAAATGTAGGGGCGCACGTTTCTTAGTTTTGTTAGAACAGGACTAGTCGCCATTCACGCGCGATGAATGATTTTGCGCGCTAGAAGGCTTAGAAATCAGTGGCAATTGTTATCAACGGACCCTCAAACGCTCTGATTGGAAGGCGATAACGCTGAAGTCTTACAAGCGTCTCTTAAAGCAAAGTACATCAGCAAAACGCCAATAATTTTGTCCAAAAGTTATTTAAACTATGTTAACGCGTGATGTGTTAAAACGCTAACAAAGGAACGATTATGAATGGCTTCGTTTTCAACTTGAAGACTTTGCCTAAAGAGATTTATTTAATCAAAGGGCGGAGAGCACTCGGTAGCTAATTGAACTGATTCATTCACACTTTCCACAAAAACTGTAATGAACGAGCCATTGTTTACAGTAGCCCATGCATAACAAGAAATTACTCTAGTAAATTTCCTGTCACAAACTATACATATTTTGATGTAAGCATCTCAACTACACTTCCTATTCCTAAAGTAAATTAGCCTTCTTGAGGAGGCCTCTTGCAACGCTTCCTGCCTTTGAAAAGTGATCTGATATCACAGAAAGGATTATGGATGACATTCACGCACAAAATTAGGCAATTCAATAACAAGATATAACTCGACCGCTCTAGACTAGGGAGGAGACGATCGCAGTTCAACAACTCTTTGCACAAACAGGTCCGATCTGTTCTTACCGCTCTTCCCGTTCAATATGAAAGTATCTTTTGGCAAACCCACACAAGCCCTTTTCGTCTGCGTCCTTTTTTTGGTATAATTTAAAGAAAAATGACTAGAAAAAGACAAATTTTACAGGCCGTTCCGCTTTCATTAAAGGCACGGGAAGTTCAAGGTTTTTCGAAAGGCAAGGCTGGACTGTTAAAATAAAACTCACTTGTTATGACTTTAAAAAAATACAGTGTCTGTAGACTCCTGACACTTACAGTGCGTTTGTTTAACGAACTTCCAGGCAGTTTCTTGAGTTGCAGCTTTTAACTATCATTGTAGACGTCAAAATGAACGAACATTCGTCACCGTCAATTTAAAGTAGCGCACAATATGAAAAACACGTCTGGATAACTTTGGTCTAAAACCTATTCCTTGAAATACACTATATCAGTAAACGAATGGAAAACAACAGGTCATTGCTACATAAGATTTACACCAACTAAGCCAAATATTATCCTTATGAATTAAAAATGAAATACGTAGACGTTATCCCTCCCTCATAAGCTGTTAGAACATCAAAGGTTGTGTTCAAGCTAACACTTACGTTGTCTACCTGAGCTAGTATTTTGATTATCCACCGGGTTAAAACCGAATCCCGACAAGGAATGTTGTCACGACTATTCTGCCTCCTTTGTCTTTTAATTATAAACCGGAATGAATCCCCTAGATATTTCCAACACATTTTATCCTTTTTTCAGCTTTGGTATTGAATCGATGAAATTTTAAAGATACCCCGTTTAAGTCTCTATTTCAGAATGAATTGATAGTAAAGTAACATAAACATTTTTTACAATCGCAAACCTACTACAGGTTGTACCCGGATAGTTATCGCAATGACGTCATATCATAGACTACAACTGTGTAATCATTAAAGACGAAGAATAACAACCACCGAAAAAATGGTAAACAAAGGAAAGGGTAGCGAATTTTGGATAATGAAAAACTCTGAGTTTCCTGAAACATGGCAATCCGGAAAGCCATTAAATTCTACCACGCCTACGCGTTTTCAGCCCACACGAGTTTATGACGGTTTCGTAGCTTTCGATTGAACGGAAATAAAAAGTAATGTCGAGTTAAACAGAAACTTCTTCACCAAGCAAATTCATAAAGATTGGTCGGTAACAAAGGGAAATTTTTCTCTTTAAACGACCAAGCACATCTGTTTTTTATACTCAAGTCATTAAAGAATCGCATTTCACAAAGTTTCATGTTCTTAGTGCAAATTTCAAGTTAGAATGAACACTCTGCACAGATATTGATAAGACATTGTGGCGCATAAACTGCAAAGAACACCGAGAGATCGTATCATCCACCTTTTGAGACACATACTTCAAAGAACACGTGACAATGAACTTTCTAGTTACCCGCGAGGCAACATGAAACACAAGTCACGTAACACAGAAGGCGGCTTTCCCTTGCACGAGTTACCTCTCGCTTAGCACAAATCAGAACGCTCACTTTTTATTCATAAGAGAGACTCATGAAAATATAATTTATTACACACGAACACTACATTATTTTGCTTTTTTTATATATATTGCACATAGACCAAGTATCTGTGTGATTGTTGAAATTACAGATATTTAAAATTGACAAATTCCATCTTCATTTTCTATCTTCTATCTTTCATTCCTAAGAAAAGAATTCTCGAGCGAATAAAAGAGGATAACCTGAACTTAGTCCCTCGCCTGCAAGGTTCTTACATGAAGCTTTTAAGTATAGTTACGTCCAGTCGTGTCAGCTCGGTAAAAAACTTGGCAGCTACAGGAAAACTTTAACAAGACCAGGGTGTGGTTCGGTAAACCTTTAAAGGTAGAAAGAAACATCAGTTAAGGTTAAATCAAGCTCTATGTAGCATTAAAGCAGTCCCCCCCCCCCCTCACATCCTGTTTTGAACCTTATTGGGAAAAAAAAGGAAACATTCTTACAACAACTTAGTTCCCACCCCTTCCCTTGCATGTCTTGTTCAGAAGAAAATTGAAGACCAAGCTACCAAGGCACAACTACGGGCTATAAACCAAGTCTTCCTACCTGTAGTTGTGTTTTTTGAGATACTCAATGATGGCAGGTTTTATTCGGGCTTTACCACCGCGACTGTGATTTCCTCTTCCTGTTACAACATTGAGGAACTTGCAACCTTTCCTAGCCAAACTACTACAAGAGTCTAAAGAAAAAGGCAAAAATGTCTTTGTCTCTCGGTAGACGGCTTGAGTCACTATACAACTACAAAAACGAACATTATCATCAGTTGATCTATTTTAACGCTTTTTTGTGCGTCAGAAGATTTCGATAGCAAACCGCACTTCCACCTGGCTTTCTTGAAATACGATCATATTATCGAACATTATAAGAATATATTCTTTTAGGCGGATATATAACCAGAGTCAAAGCAACCACTATAACAGTGCCGCCTAAACAAAATGACCATGTCATTAAATGTAAGAGGCATAGTAAGTTTTCTTGGCACTGAATCAACTTCACATTTCCTTTGAAAACGTACCAATCCGTTCGCTCAACATGTTTTCAAGAGCTTCAATGGCCTCTGTAACGTGCAAACCATGTAAATCAATGGTGTTATCGTCCGTCAACTCATTCCTGAAGTAAAAAAGAAAGGCAAAATGTACCACATTATGTGATATGCCGACCAAATATGCCTTCTGAGAATCTTGCCAAAATATTTGTTCTTCATCCAACCCTAGCTTCCCAAAAGAGTCACAAGAAGTCATTTTTTTAAAGAACAATAAAAAAAATGATTGATATGATTGTACTAAGACACGTCTAAGATTACGCACAATTGCTCTCTTTTTTTCTCTGATCCGCTGCGCTGACATTCTTCCGATGTCTATGATGGCAATATGACAGTGGAGGAGCAAACAACACCAAATTTCTCAGTAGCATGTGAATATAAGAAATATGCCGGTGTGTTTAACATGTTTATCTTACTTTTGATCCAGAATTAATGCCGCTGCACGTGCATTGGCTTCTTTTATTTTCTCGGTGTGCAAGTGACCCTGCAATGATAGAGAGAAAGAAAAAAGAGCAAACAAAATTATATTAGCCGTGTTTATGGGCGATCGTGTTTTCCTCTCAAAGACCCAGAAATTGATTATAAGTAATATTTACTTAGCTGTGGAACTAACAGATTTTTTTCACAATGTGGCAGTTTGTTGAGTTTTGATTGCTACCAAACTTTGAGTTCGATGTTTTTGATGATATCCTAAGTGTAACTGTGGTAGAAGGGGAAGAGCACGTGCGTCTTTTAAGGTGTTTTTTGGAGGCTGTTTCGCCAGTCAAAGGAAAACGTATGGCTGCTAAGGACCCCGCCAAAAGAGCAACACGAAATTCATTTAAGTTCTAAATAGGCATCAACTGAACATATCAATTTATGATGGAGATATAATCTTATTTGTTATTTTTAGTTGGTGGTGACACTATAGCTTTCTTTGTGTTTTGGTTGTTGTGGTTGTTTTGGCGGCATCCGCACATACCTGCTGGGCATAAAACTGTGCCAGCTGCCCTTGTTTCTTGGAGAAGGCCAGTGCAGCTTTCTTAAAACACTCATCCCTTAAATTGTAATGTTGAAATGCTTCAGCGCGGTAATCCAGGTAGCTTGGATCCTCAAGAGTCTGGAAGGAGGATACGTCCGAGTTTGGCCGAGAAGGCACTGAAAACACAAATATCCGCACAAACGTGAAAAAGGCGAAATTCTGACGCAACTAAAATTTGATACGTTCAAAAGTCTTGCACATCGGTTCACAGAATTTTATACTAGTAGGGTGCTTGTTTGTATAGTAAATTCAAAGCAACTCTATAACATCGGAACCTATCAGAGCGACCAAATGAGCTCCAAAATCGATTGAAATCCCTCACCGTCCAAGTCTAACCAGCTCCAGTCTTCAGCCCTTTCCTGGCAAAAAGAAAATCGAGATAGAAGTCGCGACAATTCGTAATCGGGATACCACATGTAACAAATGATAAGTTGTACCTCTTTTGTTGCTTTTTTATCAACAAACCGGCCGCTAAACCCTGATGCAATAACAGTGGTAGGAGCGTCTTGACCAGACAAATTACAAGACGCTTTCACAGCTTCTACTGATGGAGCCAATTCAAACCTGTGAAAATAAATGAGATTTCTTCATTAAACTGACATAGCTGACTATTTCTGAAAGTTGGTTGAAAAGCGCACAAAAATCATACCCATTTGCTTGAAAGACTTCCTCCAATGCTACAGGATCTACGCCAGGGAACATTTCAAAAAGCTTCTGCTTCTTTAGTTTCGTTGCCATATCTTGCTCAGTCACATTAGGCAGCTTAGTCACAAGAAAAATCAACTAATTACAAGGCTGGCGGGAACCAGAAACGACTGAATTTAACTTTGAATTGGTCATAAAACGCACACCTACATTTCTGCTGAGTTCCACAGCCAGTTGTTCATCCATTATCTCTCTCAAGGTTCCTGTTGCTTGAGGTTCTGTGGGGAAACGAGGAGTTGACTGCTGAATGTCGGGGATCTGATCTCTATCCAACTGGTTGTTAACGGTTGGTTTCCCTTTCGCCCTCTGTTTACATCCTAAAGAGTCCATAAAATAATTTACTTTTGAATACAATAAAAAAGTGATTGAAAGAAAATCGATCATCATTAGAAGTGAACTTCCGAACGCTTAAGTATCATATTTCATCGTGTCACGTTCAGCAGGACTCGTTCTTTATCGTAGAAAAAACACGCTAAAACTAACAATTGTTCTTCTTACCTAAACCAGCAACAGGTATCCCCTTTCTTGTCTAAAATGACAAAAACTTTGATACTTAAAAAACATAAAGCACATTTGCACAGTTTACAAATGGTTATCAAATGACTAGTACCGGTGATGAGAGTGAATGTGATGTAATGAAAAATGAACAGTTTTTTACTCAATATTTGAGTAATTGCTTCTGAACGTGTAACTTACATAGTGCTCACATGTTAGGCGTTAATAGTAGCAAATTTCTGGACGATATTCAGCTCGAAGGCTTTAAACATTAAAGAAAGGCAAAAACGATTTGGCAGCATTTCAGCACATACCTGAATAGTATGCTCCCACTTTTTGTACAGCTGTCTTGCTAACGAGCAGTCTACAGCTATGACTAAATCTTCTCTACTAATATTGTCTGCCAAATGGAAATAAAAAATCAGAAGCAAATTAGTTGTAATCAGAGTTACTTTTACATTTACAATAGCTGAATTAAGCTCTTTTCTTTGGGGTGAAAGTATTCGTAACCGATACTGCAGATTCCATATCGGTAACGAAGACATAGGAACAGAATCAAAACTAAGCAAAATACTGAAGTAAACTATTCAACAGCTCAAGGTAGCTTTGAGTCTCTTTTCAACTCATTTACATGAAAAAAATGTCAAGTGTTTTAAGTCTCCTTTCCAACTACTCACTTTAGACTTCTTTCAAAGTCTTCCAATGTACTGTGTCCTCGATACAACACGATGCTACTCTACTAAACACAACGAAGAGATATCTCCCTAAAGGATAGAAATTAAAAAATAATAATAATAAGATTGAAAGGTAGTCTTGCCACAGACCTTGAAAGTCAACTCCAGCAAACGGACCAAACAGCTCAATCAGGTGCAAGGCAACTGCAGGCTCAAGGGTCAGCTGAAAAGTTGTGTTTGAACGCGGAGACTGGGCTTGAGATGATACCTTTGGTGCTAAATACATTTGTGAGGACAGTTCACCAGCGAGTTTGTTGTTTTCACCGCCAACATTGCTTTGTGTTTGAGGTGCACTAGCGGCATTTACTGTTTCTTCGGTTGGACTCGAAGATTTCTGCGCCACACGGCTCGGAGAGTCAAAGATTTCTTGCTGTGAGGCAAAGTAAAGTGAATCTGCTGGAAATGTCGATAACTCAGCCGAGGGAGCTTTAGAACGCATGAGTAATTCGTCAACCACTTTCGTTAGATCACCACCCTTCGCGGTCAAAATTGCATTCATTAAATCACAGTCCACATCCGGGAAACATGTTTTCAAAAACTCCAGCCCAGCATGCCGCTGATTCTGTGAGTTCTCAGATGAGCTCGGCTGTAGTGGATTTAGCAAGTAAGGTAGGTTAGACTGGCTCTGTTTACTAGTTGAAACATCTTCATCGAATGTTCTGTCTTTTGGATCCGGATTTCCATCACAAACCTCATGTTCCAACGCCTTTTCTGTAAGATTTGGTTCAGAATACAGATGATTACCATTTTCCTGCAGCGGGCTCGCGTTGTCTGTAACAAGCTGCAGTGGCTCGCTTGTAGATTTTGGACGACTCTTCGACCTCGTTCTCGAGGCCGAGGCCAGAATTTCCGATAGGGGTGGTGGTGTAGGGAAATATTTGCTCTCCGAGGGTTCTCCAATTTGCGCGTCATTTTCACCTCTGAGAATCGCATCACCGTCAAGGATATTTTTGAGGGGCAGAGACTTACCACTTTCAAGATATTCGTCACAATTGACCATTGATGTAATATGCACTTCCTTACTGGCTTCTCCTGTGCACGTCTCGCAAGCGCGTTCATCGTTTTCTTGTTCTTCGTCAACACACTGAAAATGATGCCCATTTTCTTCAGGAGAAGTTTGACTAATAAACGAACTGTCTAAGAAAGGGGAGGGTGATGACCGTGACTCTTCCACCGTTTCTACGCCAGGCCGGCTTTTTTCAAGAGTTCCATCTAAATGGTCAGGTGGAGGAGACGTTCGAGTGTAAGCCAAGGATGCGAGTGCTGATAACTTTTCAACACATGATACCGCACCGAGTTTTTTGGGTGAAATCCCCTCTCTAGACTTTTCAATCTCGTGGATTATCTCGTGATTTTCATGTGACGTAAAGGTCCCACGGAGTTTATCGCTTTTGTCACCTTTATAATCAAGTGACGACAACTTTGTGGTGACAGACTGTTGAGTATTTGGCGACCTCTTAATTCTCATCCTTGGGGCTCGTTGTGGCTTAGGACTAAAACTTGAAATCAAAGCATGTGCTCCTTCTCCAAACTCACCGTTATCAATCCCACGAATTTTAGAATTACATTCACTTTTTTTACTCCCTCCAGTTTTTGATTTGCAATCAGTTTCCTCAGGCCGATCGAACCCTCTCGTGCTTAACCCCATATGCCCATGAATCCCATCACCTACCGAGGGTGTGTTTGCGCATTCTGTGACCTTGGGAGAGCTTATATTTCCGCTCTTTTCCTGTTTTGAAGCAGTTCTTTTACCTGAGGAGACTCTACAGCCCTCCGTTGGACTCGTAATCAAGTCAGCAGAACCTGTTTGTATAGAGGAAGTTTGTGACCTGGGGCCACCGCTGTAGCTTTTTATATCAATTACCTTTTTAGTCTCAAGTTCGTCCTCAGTCTTCCTTGCGTCAGTATGTCTCTCAGATTTCTTTAAGGTTTCCACAGAGAGGTTATGTTCATAACGTTCTTTCATTCTTGTAATCGCCGCATAAGTCACTCCATGTTGGTTCCGTCTTAAGGGAAAAAAATTAGAGTAGAATCATTTTTTTTTTTACAGGAGCAGACCTTATCAAACAGCTGCCGGATATTGTAGAAGTGAACTTTGTAAAAGTAATTCAGTCTTCTTACACTGACTGGACACCATTTCTACTCAGCCAGTATTTCGTAAGGTTGGTCCAATTTCTGGCCCTTGAAGGAAAGAGCCTGGAGAGAGTTACTGTGAGATAGCAGTATGCACTCCTCAACTAAACTAAAAGTACAATGTTAACAAACCAGAAAAAGCGATGATATTTCCACCCACCTGACCAGTTCTTTCACATCCCATTTCCATGGAGTGTTAGGTTCAACAATTTTGATGTGGTAGCCATACTTAACTGCCTACGAGAGAGTCATCAAGAGAGAATAAATCAAATTTTAAACCTGGAAATCAAAGTATTGAACTTTTAAATACTTATTACAATTATATCTTTAGGCATAGATGCTATGACAGGGTCTACCAACAGAACAAGACAATACCTACCATAGAAATATAAGGTTTCATTTCCCACGACTGTGTATTGGTGTTGTCAATGATCAGTGGGGATTGTTGTGACTCCATAGCAGTTTTAGCTGCAGGAAGAAAGTTATTATTATTAATAAAGGGGGTAAGTTTCTAAAGAAACTGTGGTGCTGCGTCAGTGGGAGAGTATAACAGGCAATTTAGTGGTAACAGCTGAGTTGAAAACGTATATAGACCACCGTAAAGAGTTTAAAAGCCGACGGTTCTAGCCTAAGCCCTTCGTTAGAGTAATTTGATTGCTCTGACGAAGGGCTAACGGTCGAAATTACCTATTGTTATTAATGTTGAAATCTTCACACTTAAAGTTCACAAGGCAACCAAGTGGACAATCAGACATGGTTTGATGCCACTCTGCTGGGTTAAAAAATCTAATCAATGTAACTGAGAAGTTACAATTCATAGACCCAACGTTTCGACACTCCTGTCAAGTGCTTTCATCAGGGGTGATCTAATTGGTGCAACAAGAGGTCCTTTTATATGCTCACTAGTTTGCTGCATTTTTTTTCTGAAGGGATGTAAATCAGATAGTAAGCCACCAGATCACTATTTAGAGGAATGTGGGCGCTGGTGGTAATGTTGATTGGAGTAGCATCAAACCATGTCTGATCTTCATATTTACTGCTCGACAAATTATTTCACAAGTTCAATGGTCCAATTAACAGCTTCTTCTTTGATTTTCCATGCATATCCAAATGTAGAAGTTCATAAAGTTGTCTTTGCCTTGAGGTAACAACTGTGTGGTGAAATTTTGATAGTCCCAACAGAAGTACTATGCTTCCATACACAGCAAGAAAGAGAAGTTTGAATTACTTTGAGTCATGAGGGATTTGCATGACACAATATATTGATACTGCAAAAGTGGGAGCAGGGTTTACTAAACAGATGCAGTACAATCATTTTTTATTTCATCAAAAAATATTTTTGTGGGAAATACCTCTGGATTGATTCCACTCATGTGCCTCTCCAAGGGAGCTAGCATCAAATTTATATCTAAAAAGGGACAAGTGTAAGGGTTAGAAATAAAAACCCTCCCACTTGAACTATGAGACCATAATAAAGTGGAAATAAATCAATCAAAGTTCTAAGTACCACTTGTATTAATCAAAAAGATCATGACACATGCTCATTTTTTCTGTTAAAAGAACAGTGGCACCTAACAACAATAATACAGAGTGATTGTTATAATGTTATCATGTGGCTCATTATTTTCTTTCCATGAAAGCCATTATCATCTCTCACACCTTAGTAAGCCAGTTGCCATATCTGTCTTTTTTTAAACTCAGTATCAACTGGGGTGAGGGAAAGTATTGTGAAATAATAAAAGCAGTCTACAATGTTCCAAACATGTGTCAAATTTTTTTGCCATTCATGTTCATTTATATGTATGTTTGCTTCCCACTAACGTGAACCATGACAACTAAAAAACTCATCTCATGAAACAAACCAAGTCATCTTTTGGACTCTTTAGCTTTATTTCTGGAAAAAGGGAGGCAGTGCAAGATTAAAGTGAGTTACACTGTCTAAAGATTATTTTTCAATTGTTTTCCTAATGTTTCAGTAGCTTGACAAGTTAACTACCGCTGATTTCTATAAAAGTAGTCATCTGTTGAGAGCACAACACCATCACGCCCTTTGAGCTTTCTGCAAGAAAAACAAACTTCATAAGATTTTGTAATCATGGCAAATGTATCCTTTGTCATCACTTTATGCTTACATGTATAAATGTTCATGATACAAGTAAATATACTTGTTTAATTCTAAGAATACATTTTAAAATCACAAAATAAGTTTTACAAGGATGGCCTCAAGGAATCTCTTTCAAAAGAATAATTTAGATTTAAACAGAACTACACTATAGATGAATTGACTTTGGGGTTTTTATTTTCAATATTAACTGTGCAAGGAAGGTCTTTCCGCTTCCTGGTAATCCTCTCATAAGGATGAGCACTTTCTGCTTAGTTGGTGGTGACATCGAGCCCCTTACACCAAACCCATGTCTGACTGGTCTTGTTACAGCAGCCATGCAGGGTGCTGAAAAAAATGAACAGGTTGATTTAAGTACCTCAGTGTTTAGAAGAATTTCCAAAACTTGAAAATGAATTTGCTTCTTTCTGTGATCTCACATCATACACCAGAGGTGAAGATCAAAATAATTTCAGAAAAAAGTACGATCACTCCGAACATATTGAACATGATATAGTCACCAACACTAACCAAAAGAAATGTCAACTTGTAATTCACCCTTCAACAAATCAGCCATTTGGACATAAAACAAAACATCCAACCAATTTTCTATGTATGTTCAAACCACACTTCTGCTAGAGAAGAAAGCTCACATCATGTGGCATGACCCCACATATCACAACTGTTTGACTGTCCCTTGATTTGCAAGTTTCAGATTGAAGGCTTTGAATGATTTCCATATTTTAGCCTTAAAATGGAATTCAATAATGTACAAGGACCATACATAATATAAAATAATAATTATGTCATAGGAACTAATTTTCTTCTTCATAAAACTGACAACTACCATGTAAGAGCTTGTTTCTATCAGATATAACAAACCTCCAAATGAAAAGCAAGGATTTGTTGAGAGTGGCCCTTGAAGGTATTGGGTTGGAACATGTCCTGGAAATCTTTGAGTCAGTAGGCCTGGATGCCATACAGCTGGTACTACTGGCATAATGGGAAATCTTTGTTGAGAGACATTTGATGTTTGACTGAACCCTTGAGGTCGTAGATATGGGTAAATTTGTCTTTGAATGGCTGGTGGTTGAGACATTGTTTCTTTTGACTTACTGTTTTCATTGTGATGAAGTTGTAGTTGTTGGACAGTATTTGTTCTGTGTTGCAACTGAGGTGTATCATCATTATGCTTCAGAGATGTCTTTGAGGTGTTTTGATAGAAATTTAAATGGTTATAGTTACAGTTGTGATCATTTGAAGTCCTCTGACCTTCATTGCATGACACTCGAGGATTGGTGTTGTCACTTCTATCTGTTGTAGATGAGCTTTCAACTTGTTGTTCTTTTCTGCTGAATTCAAAATCTAATGGTTTCTTTTCACTGCAACCCAGAGGTATTTTTTTTGTTTGCTCTGTGCTACTGCTTCCAGATATTACTTGTTTGTTGTATGACTCTAAGTTTCCTTTAAGTTCCTGATCATGGATAGGTAGGTTAATAGTTTTTGGTTTACTATGTTCACAATGGTCAGGACCAGCAGGTGGTTCTAAATCTTCACTTTGCATATCTCTTTGGTGAATTGTAGGTTTTTGAGAAGACAACAGCTCAGCATAGGGAGTATTTGCCTGGTTTGTTAAAGTGTTAAATTGCAGGGCAACATAATCAGGAAAATCTGGTAAGCCTGATGATGTAACAGAGCTTGTATTGTCAGTGCCTACATGAAGCAACACTCCTTCAGGTGACACTGTTCTATCTGCACCATATGACACACCTGATGTTGGCTTATAATGTGGCAAAGACCTTGGAACTTCTCCTTGATGATGACTATCACTTGTGCTATATTGTGATAAAAGTGCTATTTTTCCTTTTGATGTCTGTGTAAAACTGCTTTTAATAACTGACGAACTGGAATTGTCAGAAGAAGCTCCAGCCTGAATTCCTTTAAACTGGGAGTCAACTTTATGGGCTTCCCGACCAGCATTTGATATACCATGTTGATAATTAGGTTTCTGATTTTCCAATGATGATTTAGAAGGGCGACTGTCTGGAATAGCTTGGCTTTCTGTCTGTCCTTGCTCTATTCCACTTAGGACAAAAAGCTTCTCCACAGCATCATTTACTACAAAAATAGTATTTAATTTTAACTCAAACTAGATGTGCTTACCTACATGATTGTTGTGATTTTATACTAAAGAGCTTTTAAAAGATCCTGTCCTATCATCAAGGCAATTCGATTTCCCTTCAAGATAAGCGACTCTCCTCGCTTTCCTGCAGGGCAAAGCCCCTGAAAAGCTGTACTTGAGTGTCACGTTTCCTTGTATCAAGAACCCCTCACCCCCTTCTCGACAAAATTCTGCGGTGAAAATCTCTCTTTCCATTCATCCTGTAATTTTTCATTCAGAAAATTTCCCAAAAGATGAAATAGAACTGGAATTGTCGATTGAAACGGACTGGATCGAATAATAGACAAGTATTATTGCCAACTAAGATATCCGAGCCTTGCTCGCTGAACGAAACGTTAGAAAGCGAAATCACTCTGTAAGTTTACGTGGTTGTAAAATATTAACAGCACAAACAAATACCAACCATTATAATCACTCTCTGAAAGTACCAGCTGAACAACTCCAGGATCTATTGAACCGGAAAACATATTCTGCAGTTCGAAAAGCGTGTTCTCTCGCCATCTCAGCTGAACGTCGTTATCTTTCGGTACTTTCTCTGTCGAATCTTTCCCTGATGATGGGGCATCTGGACTTTGATTTCTTCTCCTAGGCATTTTGAAACGTTACGTTAAGGTAAATGACCCTGGTATGTTCTTCATTATTTCCTAACTCAACCAAAATCAATATGGAAGCTGATGACGACGGTGCACAGTGGCCATATTTGAAATAAACAACACTGTTTGGAATTTGCACCCTTTTCAACTTCCGGTCACGTGGATTTCTTTGAAAAGGTGCTCTTCGCGGACGAAAATTTAGTTTGTTCGAAAAACTCTCAATTAATTGTGTAATTTCAGTTTTTTCGGTGATTCTGGTGGGAATGCCTCCTTTAGAAACGTAAGGAACAGAGCGGAATATGCCTGCACCGGCTACCCATGGCTTCCGTTGCTTTTCCCTTCGCACTCTTGTTCATCTTTGCCGAAGGTACTGAGCTTGTTCCCAGACAGTCTCCAAAATGACATCTGTCTTTATATCCATGGTAAACTGTTCAAGGAGAATTCTGCCTTCCGCGCTGCCGTTCTTAGCTGTAAGCGTTCGCTCGCCTCAAAATTGAAGATTCAGCATTTTTTACCACGTCAGTACGTAATCAAACAAGGAGATGAGACGCACTTTAGAGACATTTCAAACACCACAGCCACATTGGGGAAGAGTTCTGTAGTGGGAAATGATTCAATGGGATTAGGAAAAGTGAAGCTCTTACTGTAATGAGAACCATTTGAGGAAAGATAGAGACACATTTGCAATAGAAAAGTACGCAGTATTCATCTTTTATTCATCTTTTAGGACTACATCACCAGCACGACCACGTTAAGTTATGGAATATGGGTCTTGGGAGCGTCTTCATGCCTAACTCCATGAGCCGGTTACTTTGACGGAGTGAAAATGTGACTGACAAATTAAACAAAGTATTATTTTCATTCCTCCCCCCCTGCGCCTAGTAGTTTATTTCCCGTAACCCCCCTCTTTACTTCTGATATCTTGTTCAGCAGAGGTATTACTATTGACAGCTGTCTTTCCATATGTAAGAGTCTTTGGTCGATGACCTTCAAGTTTTCTTGAACATCTTTCATTTCATTTGAACTTGAAGACGGTCGAACCATTAGACTACTCATGTCTTCCTTCGGATTTGGAGATTCTACATCGGTCTTAGGATATGTTTCTGCACTGGGTTCCAGTCTCCTTGAAGATCCTTCTCCGAAGTCTTCGAACAGTTCTACCTCTTCCTCCTCCTGGAAAACACAATAAGGAGCAATTCCTCAGAGGCTGAACAGAAAATTCTCTCCCGCCCTGTGTTTTCTTCCTCAATGAGTTGTGATTCATAACTTGTGGATTGTCAATTTGTTTTCGTCCGATTACAGTGATGTTTCCTAGTTTTGAATCGTATGACTATAGATATTATCAAAGAGACCAGTGTCACCCTCAAGCTTTTCCCCTCAGTGTAAAATTGTTCACATGGGTGCGTTGAACAATTCAGGGTATAATTTCTTCTAAATATATATCTATGTGTCCTTAAGGCTCCTTAAATCACACTAATGAGCACTATTTGTATCCTGTCGGTATTCTTTAAAAGCGAACTTTGAATTTAAATTATTTCAGTTTTAATTGCGTACTGTGTTGTATTCTTGCGGAAGACTCTTCACTCTGACAGAGCCTCTGTCCGCTTAGGAATAAGAATAAGTACAATTTACCCCGCCCTCTCCCGGTTAAGTGCGAAAATTATACTAAACAGACGTCCCTTGAAGGAAAGCGTGTACTATGCACGGAAAGTTTTAGTTAATGGAGCCATTAAATGCCCCATCACATTTAAATTAAACACACTTTCTTGTGATGTCCAATTTGATATGCGAAGACCATCCTTGCCAAGAACTCTTCTCTAAATACAGGATACATTTTGAAAATGGCTGTCAGATCGCTCCATTCGATGTAATGAATGTCAGAGGGGGTCTGTACGATCACATTGGCAACAGCCCGTGCTTTGATTTCTGAGGATTTGTCTTCGCTGTAGATTGTATCACCCCTCCCTAGGTATAAAAAGACTTTAATCAATAAATTACGCACGCAGCTTGGGGTATATGCTGACACAACTAGATTTAAAAAGAGGATATAACAATGTGCCAAGTAGATTTTGTTCAAGTTGTATAATTCCTGAATGCCCATATAACTGATTTCGAAACAGTTTGCAAGGAAGATATTTGAACTGACAATATGGTCCACTCACGCCAAGTACACAGCTCTTAAATTTCCTTACCAAGGGCAAGAATTATCTTCTCATCCAGCGTCACGTGAACAATTCCTTTTACGACAAAAAAAACCTTGTTCATCTCATCTCCTTGTTTGATCACGTACTGACGTGGTAAAAAATGCTGAATCTTCAACTTTGAGGCGAGCGAACGCTTACAGCTAAGAACGGCAGCGCGGAAGGCAGAATTCTCCTTGAACAGTTTACCATGGATATGAAGACAGATGTCATTTTGGAGACTGTCTGGGAACAAGCTCAGTACCTTCGGCAAAGATGAACAAACTGTATATCAGCAAGACATTATTATCTCATGATATCAGGATATAATTATCTACGTGCATAATAAGTCCTTAAAGCTCCACTCCGCAGAAAATTGTAAAACATCCTTTATCCATACTCGTTTAGAATGCGAAAGTTTTCAAACTTATTTTAAAAGCAAGAAGGCAATGATAATGTGGAATCGCCTAGTTAAAATGAAGGAACCCCTTTGGAGGGAAGGTGGGAGAAATGTGAGTCAAATAAAAGTAATTGAAAAACTTACCTCATTGATATCCGACATTGTCATTGCACAAGCGTCATTTATCACGTGCTTCTCAAGATCTTCCCGCAGAGCTTGCGGTATCTCGTAGAAGCGCACAAAGTTCCGGACGAGTCGAAGGCCTTCGTGCTGCTTAAAATTCTGAAGGTACAACCTCTGGATAATCACCGTCAAATTACCAAATATGGAGGCGTACATCAGGGCTTAATGTAATAAAATAAAGTAATCTTCTATCAAAAATTCCATCAACAGTGTCTAAACCCTGTTTTAAAGGGACTCTCATCATCAGCGAGTCATCGTCTTGAAAGCGAATAGATTTAATGATGCTAGTGGTGGACACATGGAAAAAAAACCCGTAACCGCATAGTATAGTCAAAATCGCTCACCTCCCATAAGCATCACGATGATGGAAAAAATCCTCTCATTGTTCGTAGTTGGAGCAACGTTTCCAAACCCCACACTGGTTAAACTGCTCAGAGTAAAATATAGAGAAGTGAGGTACCTAGCCTTAAGGCTTGGTCCACTTGTTGGAATAGACTGATTTATTGGTTTGTTGGTGTTTTTGGCGAGTAAAGCTAGCCAGCCAATTTCACTGTGTGCCTCAGACGCTCCAATAGCATGCCATATACAAGCTAGCCAATGAGCAACAAGCATGAACAGACATGTGAGCAGCAGAATGACAGCTAAACCATACTCTGAATAACGGTCCAATTTTCGCGTCACCCGCACCAGGCGCAAGAGCCGCGCGGTCTTTAACAAACCCATGAGTGTGGTGTCCTGGAACAAATATTACAATAAATAATTTCGCTTTCCATAGATATGAACAAGGACTTATTTTTTAATAAGAAGTGAAATAAACACTGGGAAATTATCAAATATCAAAGAAAACCTACAAATTGCCAATTACTCGGTGTTACTTGCTGCAAGTTGTTTCAGGTATAGACGCTGTGATCAGAATCTAACTCCATGGCGTCATTACCTGACGAACTATGGACTATGTGTTAATCAAAGATTTACTCACCCCCTCCTGCTGAGGATCAACTAAGAACTCGAACGGAATAGCTGACACAAAATCCACAATAAACCATGACTTGAGGTAAAGAACTGCGATCTCTTTGGGGTCACTAATAATCGCTTCGGAATGCCTTTTGATAGATGCACTTCGAAAATTGATCGGAATATCGATTATAAAGAGAAAATCTGCGAAAACGTTCGTGGCTACTATCGGGGAGAGAGCCATTAAGGCGCCAAAACGAGAGGTACTAGCACCAGTCTGACTCGGTCTCAGGAACGCTACATCGAAAGGGATCTCAATTGTGGTGTAAATGACAAAAACAAGGATGACCCAGTCCCACACGGCCTTGAAGAGGGAATCATGACGTATCAGGCACGTTTTGTTTTTGTAAGGTGAGTTATTAGCCTCGTATGACTTGCTGTATATTCTCTGTGGTGACAAAAAAGTATAAGTATGTTTAGATACTGGAGGCAGCCAAGAAGCATTAAGATTAAGTCTGAATGGTTCTTTAACTTGGTACTTTTTACTAAACATATATACGGCTTCCTATGATGAGAATTGCGCATTTTTGTATTGCCAGCTGGGGTTCATTTTCTTTCCGACTTCACAACAAAAGCTAAGGCATTTTTTGTTTTCTTCAGCTTAGAATGTCTGTGCAGGTAGAGCTCAGCCAAAGCAACTAGTTAAGACAGGACACGTGTATATACCTACCCCAGATCTCATGATCGTTGTTTTAGCATAGATCCCCTTTGCTGCCTTGAGTTAGAAATGAGAACGGGAGTTAAATCTACAATACTGACGTCGTACGGTATTGGCTTGTTAAATTTTGGGAACATACTTTCATGAAAACTATACTTGTCTTCGTCACGTCCGACAATGTTTACTGAAACACCGAAGACTTTCGATACGACTCGATAAATGCATAGCAAAAGAAAATGTTATAAAAGTAACAGACTATCGCCATTCACCAATTCAAATGAGAGGAAAGCTTTTTGAGGATAGCATATGTCTTTGCTCTTCACGCAAGTTTTCGTTCTACCGATCGAAACAAGTTCAAATGGGAAAACTACAATACAGGAACAATAAAGTCAGATGTCTCTCTTACCGGAACTCTGGGATCTTTTTTTCCTGGAAAAGCTTTCGAAACAGATGTCTTCGGTATTTTTTCGAAAGAAAAATAACGAACTTGTAAGATGCAAGTTTACACTAACGTGATCAGAACGCGCGATAGGGAGATAACGAAGACAAGCGCGCGCGCGTGAAAATGCTACACACAAAATAAACGTTCTGACTAGAGATCATATTCGTCAACAAATCTTTTAATTTAAGACTTTTAAGAAACATTTTTTAATTACAAATCCTGTTTACCATTTATCAGTTTCTAGATTATGTATTTATTTATCTATCTTACCTGACAAAAAACTTGTGAAAAAGTATTCAAATAGATTTGCTCTCAAAATCAGTATAAATAAACCCACGGAAATGAATATATTGGGCATTTTTTTAACCAAAAGAGTTTCATTTGAAAAGCTTATGTTCTCCACTGAGCCGAAGTAGTGTCACTCACAATAATAGCATCATTACCAGTTAGATCAGGTGAAAACTTTGAAATGCGCTAAAAGTGTGTTAAGTAACGTGAACAACTTAATGAAAGCCGTAATGGTCTGTCGTCAAACATATTTTTCAATGGTTAACTTTCGGTTGTTAGAGGCTTCCATGTAATTGATTAAAGCTGAACGAGTTTTTTTATGCGATAAAAATAATTTTACAATCAGGAATACTGGTTAACAGCTCCAACATACGAAGTAAAAAACCGATGAAGGCATTGCAGCATAGTAAATTCAAGAACAGAATGGTATAGCTTAATTTACATTAACTCTGTACAAAATGAGCAAGCTATAAGAACAATAAAGATGGCAACTTTAAACTCGGTCATAAACAGTCACAGGGTCCTCAACAAGGAATCTGTCCATTGGAGTTTGGATTCTGAGCCCTGATTCTCTGTCAATGAGCCACAGAGACCTCTATAATGGGCCTGACTATTATTATCTTCATATACAACACGCATGCACCATACTGCCACCTTTAGCGATGTCCAAACCGTTGTTTGAGTGAAAAGAAGTTGTAAATAGAGTAAGAAGGAATAAATTTCTCCTTAAACAATTTATTCTATGGATACACGTCCTGCTACAAAATGAATTTATTTTTTGTCATCCTTGGATTGACACGTTGTTTGACTCAATTTTAAGGGCTGTACTCGTGGCATGCGGAATTGTTTATACAATGTACACATGCCTCGATAAATGTCTCACGCCCCGATAAATGTCTCTCGTTAGCTTTTAAAGCTTTATACAACTAGATATGATCGCCATTTTCACTTTATTTACAACAGCTCCAATAACCGCAATAAGCAAGGCACCTCGTTGATCTTGAAAATTGCGTAAATGGATCACGTGACCAAATCATCACTCATTAGCCCGTCAAACGTTTGTGTCTCTAAGATCAGGTGCGGAGCCACCACTGCCGTTGCTTCGTAAGTGAGATAAAATTGTCTCAAAATTTGCGGCCAGTCGGTCTTCCATAGCTATCAACCGTGCTTCCATTTTATCAATCCGCTGTTCGAGAACTTTAAGTTCTGTTCCGTGCGTACAGTGATCTCGAGTTGAAGTTAAATGCGAGTGTAATGATGGAAGAGTGGAATGGATTGATGGCATAAGAGTGTGAATTTTGGGCTCACTTCCTCCCGCAGGATGGCGAGAATGTAAATTGACAACAGGTGAATTTTGGTGTTGAGATATTCGGCCATTTATCATAAAAGTTGGTGAGCCTGTTCGTTCAAGTTTATCAACTCCTGAGCGCGACGAAAATGTTGATCTGGCGTTTGATAGTCTGCGAGACCCTAGGTTTATCTCTTCATTATAAAGGATAATTTCATCTTCCTGCGAAGAAAATGTAAAACAACTTTACGCAACTTTTTCTGTTAAATAAAAATATAAAATGACTGAATTTTTTTAAAGACAAAGCAGCAATAAACTTTGTGGTTGTCAGTCAACTTCAACAAAGCTTTCTTAAAAAGCGATCTGAGAATGTGATATGATTACCAACTCAAAGCTGCCTGCCAGTCCCTTACATATTCCTTAAGGGTATGTGCCTATGCAGAAATTAATTTTTCAGTAATAAATCTCAAGCAGTTACATCGTTAAAGATCTCCATATATGTGCCAAAACACATTTGTATATCAAAATACTATTTAGAAAGATGCATGTCTGCAGTGTGCATTTTATTTCGCTCATTCCTACCTCTTCTTCGTGACCAAGATTGTAAGCCAACTCGAGGTGTGTGATGAACTCTTCTCGAAACGACGAGTAAGCCTTTAAAACTGCAACTAACTCGCACCAGGCAACAGAATGAATTTCACAGTGTGTTTGAACTCGAAGACTGGCGTTAGCCTTTGGGATGTACATACTCTGTACCGTGCTGTAATCACAACTTATGACATCACCCTTGCCTGTCAATAAAATTGCATGAGTTAGTTAAGATACAAATTATTTGAACACCTACCAGACTTTTTTTTACCAAAGTGAACAACGTGATAACAGACCTAATCTGAATTAAAATCCTCAATGTAAGTGCAAAACTAACAACTACTAGGCGGCGTGCAACCGGAAAACATTTCTAGTGAACAAGACTGCAAGGGAATGGTGCTGTGATGCTAGACACAGTTGTAATGAGAATTATTATTATTTTTATCGATCTGTCTTCTAAATTGTTATCATTATTGCCATTGTCTCTGTTATTGCTGTATTTAAGATTGCATGGGTTTTATCTATCTTTTTAAGGACTGGTTGAAAGAAAGTGAAAAGAAAAAGAAAGTGGGGGTAGCCTCTTTGCCATAAAGTAAGCAGAATCTTATCTATTTCTTTTTCCTTTAAAAATTCCTTGTTCAGATCATTTGGTTAAGAAGTACGTGTATTTGACTTCATGGGCATATAAAAGAAGGTAAAGTGAATATGTAATGGCCCAACCTAATGTTAACATGGTCTCGTCAGATTTCACAACTTCAATGTTCCCTTTGGCTATGAAGTAAAGTCGCTTCACTTCGTCCCCTTGTTTAATGATGAAATGACCCGGCAGGTAATGTCGAATCTTGAACCGCAGCGCAAGAGCCCGCAAACAGCCTTCGCTAGCGGTTTTGAAGGCCCCGCATTCTGTGAATAAATTTCTGTGTAAATGGAGACAAACGTCAGCTTGAAGGGATTCTGGGAAGCGGTTGAGTACCTGGATAGAGGAGATAAAAGATTTATTATTAATTATGTTTCAAAAGTATGGCCCTCAACTTTATTTAACCCTTTAACTCTCAAGATCTCATTAGTAATTTTCCTTACTATCTCCCATACAGTTCTTGTGATGTTAGTGTGGAGAATTTGGTATTGGATCATCTTATAATCCCCTAACTGATATTTTTCTTTATTCTCATCACTAGTCTGCTTTATATTGTATTGATGTTGTAGGAGGAAATTCTGTCTCGGTCACTCATGGGAGTAAAGGGTTAAATCATTTCACGAACTACCGGGATATGAGAGTACAGAAGAACTGAGCATTGCCATTAATGTTATAAATAATCGCCATTATCCCTTTAAGCCCCGTTAGAATTGTGTTCCAGACTGAATAATCTCTCATTTTGTTCCGCTCTCTCTAAAATGCATCGATCTCTAGCGTCTTGCCTTGTTTACACATCCTATTTGATAAACACGCATTAAAGAGATGCTTGTCCATGCCTGTTTACCTTCCAAGCAGACGAGCAAGAAAAAAACTAACTTACTGTTTCCATGTCAACACCTTTAGTATAAGCCCATTCGTGCCTAAAATACTCGTCCAACTCCTCTTTGGTGGCCTTTGGTATTTTGTAAAAGCGGACAAAGTCCTCGATGACTCTCAAATCTCGGTGAAAACGGGACGTACGCGAGTAAAGTCTTTGGATGATAGCAGTGAGATTACCAAATATGGAGGCGTACATGAGAGCTGTGGAAAGGACAATCCGCTGTGAAGATGGCAAATTCAGACTACTGAAATAATCTTTCGAAATTTTCACTTTAAGCGGTAAATGTAGAAAAAAATCAGAAAACAAGGGTTAGGGAAGCCTACTGAATGGCAAACTGCTCTTTTTTTGTGGTCTTCAACACTTACAATTCTAGGATCAGTTTATATGTAAGGATTGAAAAAACTGGTAAAGATAGGAATCACTCAACTCAGAAAAAGATGAATCACTGTTTCTGAACCTATACAACAAAACTAGTTGAAAATAAATGAATGTTGGGTCCTTGTAGTCTTACCACCAATTATCATTACACAAACTGAAAATATTTTCTCAGCGTCAGTGTTTGGGGAAACATTTCCAAATCCAACACTTGTCAGGCTGCTAAGAGTAAAGTACAAAGCGGTAATGTAGCGAGTCTGGAGATCTGGACCTGTTGTATTACTATTCAGGTTTAAGTTTTTCGTTAGCTCTTGTATCCATCCCATGTCATTCCTTTTCTCTGAGTAGCCAATACCATGCCAGATACACGCCAGCCAATGGGCGATTAGGGTGAAGAGACACGTGAGCAATATGACTACCGCAAAGCCATACTCTGAGTAGCGGTCCAGTTTTCGCGCCACTCTCACCAGGCGCAATAGACGTGCGGTCTTAAGAAGTCCAAATAATGTTGTTGCCTGAATGAATTGAAATGAAGTATTACCTCTATTGAAAACTCGTTGAAAATTCCAACTTTATAAAACACAGTTATTTCTTAGTTACTCTTTCCCCAATTTTCGTCTGTCGTAGAAAAGACTTCTCAGAATATAATCGTTCGAAACCCAGAAAACTGGGATAAAATGTAAAGTTGTTGTTTTTAATATGTCACGTGTAATCATTGCCATGAAAATGAAAAATGACACTTAGTCGCTTAAAAGATTTAGCGACTTAAGAGAATTAAAACAGCAATGGCAGCGGTTATTAAATAAGGCACAAGATTGTTGTTACTTACCGAATCAACCTTGGTTGTGATCATGAATTCAAAAGGTATAGCTGCGACAAAATCCACCACAAACCAGGTTTTCAAATAATGGAGAGCAATTTGCTTTGGATTACTTATGACTTCATCCGTGTTTAATTTGATAAAAGTTGTCCTAAAATTAATGAAAATGTCGATAATAAACATGAGGTCCACACAGAGGTTAAAGACGAGCAGCGGGGTAACTTTGAGAAAGCTCCAGTCTCCTTTTGTTTTTTCTTCTAGCTCCTCTTCTCTATCTTTTTGTAGAGGCATTAGAAAAGCCACAGAGAAAGGAATCTCTATCGCTGTGAATATGACAAGCGCAAGTATAATCCAGTCCCACACGGCCTTGAATAGTGAGTCATGTCGGATTGTGCAGGCATGGAGTTGGGCTTGGGGCCGAGAATTTGAGCTGGGACTGAGAGACATCACCTGCAAGAGGAGACAAAATAAGACCTCCCGTGATTTATAATAATTAATGCGCCTGCAACGAACAACCTGCCTCTTTGATTTAAAAATTCAAAGAGAGTATCACAGTAAAAGTTTTCGCTCAAAGTCTTTCGACTAATTTGTCAATCTTTCTTCGCTTTTGCGAAACATGTATATGGCACAGGCTTCTGTAATGGTTGTAGTGAACTGATCGAGATCGCGTCATATCCTGAGAGAATAACTTATAACAGCAGTGGTCAGCAGCTTCGGATATCCTCACACTTAAAAATTTCAAACCAAAATACCAAAGTCGACAATGTGATAAACACCGTATGCTACTCGAGAGTTAATGTTTACAGTAAAAGGACGACACAGTAGACACTATTTGAAATTTCTTCCTCTAGCTGGCAACACATCGTAGTTTCATTCAAGAATTTAATCATCAAGTGCTCAAAAACTTAGGTAACATCTATTTGAAATTAAAAGTTCGAGACATAATTTCGTGAAGTTTGTTTTACATTCCGGCCTGTGGGTGATATTTCAAAAGTGCGGACGGTTGAAGCTTGTACTGAATTTTTTAATTCTCGTTTGTTTTGGCCTTAAATTGCCTTAATTACTTTAGCAGGGTCCGGTGCTTTGTGTTCCAGATATCTTATAAGCCTTTTGACTTCCTGCGATTAAATTATTAACTACTAATTTGGAAGCACTTTTTGGAATAGTTTGGACACAATCTAATTGTGATGAAAACTCATACATCATAAAATCATTGACATCTTCGCACATCTAGATGGTTCGAAGATTCCCATTTAAAAGTTTAGCCCCATTCTTGTATTAAAACCCTTGAGAAGTTTAACTCTTTTTGCTTCGAAATCTTTTAGTTGCAATAAACATCAAATCGATGGAAGGCAAGGTTAAAAGTTGTATTCGAGCGAGAACAAAATTTTCTTCTTTTCACGAAATAAGAGGTGGCCTAAAAAAGGATTCCTCATCATCCTTGAAGCGAGACAAAACTGATACATAGGAAAAATTGTAAGGCGGGACCTAATTTGAAATAAAAGGATTTTATAAAAGAGATCTATGAAAACGTTCATCCTTTATTGAGATCCATTTTGGAAATTATTCGGAAAATGCAAATTTTCACCAAGATAATTGCAGCTGGTCTACTAAAAATATCAAGTGAATTCACCTGTTCCTTGAAATTAACTTCTTCGTGGCCAGCCTCTGAATAAACTTTTCCCAGAGTTACTTAATGACGAGCACTGTGACCAGTTCGATGAAATAAAGCGTAAAAATCAGCGCTGAGAAACAGCGCATATTGTTTCAACGAAACTCTAAACTGCATGACAGTGTCAATGGCGGGATATATTACAACGCAACAGCAAAAGAAACAGGAAGGTCGCAGATTGAAGCGAACCATAAATGGAATTTACATTTCCTATGACAGACGTATATGCACCCTGCTGGTTTGCGAAGAAAAAGTGCGCTCGATAAAATCGTGATAAAAGAAGTTTCTTGTCATTTCAGACCACACAATATCGGAGAAAAATTCTATAAATTACATTTTTAATAGGAATAACTCTTGTTATCTCAGATGCGATTACATATTTACTTTAAAGCATAAAACGACAGCAAAATTTTTTTGAAATCTTGCATTGAAAGAGGCAATTTATATTCGAATTTGGTGCTAATATTTCATGTATATCTTCAAAGGACAAAGAAAATAGTTTATATTTTGGCAATAATGTGAAGTTGTGGATTATAAACTTTCCGCCCATGTCGCTTCAGCGATAGCTGAATCGATTATATGCTGTTGCTTTATTCATAGCTTTCTTGTCATCTCAGAAATATAATAATATAAAACCCAGTAAGGAAATACCTCTCGCTCTCAAGCGTATAAAAACTATCTTTCGATATATTTCCTCAGAATCCACGTTTAGGGACATTTAGAGAAAGCTAAATTAAACCTTTCATATTGAAATAACGAATATTTCAAGATAGTAAAGCAAAGTAAGAACGCTGCGTGGTTCCACAGGAATGTAAAGAAATGGCAAAAATCCTCGAAAGTAAATATATTTCGTTCAAAGATAATGAAATGGTCAAGATATGATTTATCTTGCGATCGCTGTTGTGAAACTTGCTCGATAACATTCTTAAGTAAGTACTTACCAAATTATGACCTGCAACTACTAAATTTAAAAACCTGCTGTTGCAATCATGATCCTCCGGCAATAAAAAAAGACCAAGTCATCCCAAACATTTCAGCAACTTTCATTTCTCTATTAGACGTACACTTAAAAGTTGTCGGGAAAGTCAAGTTCATCTGATGTACAGTAACGTGTAAATGTCATTTTGGTCAGCCTGTAGACGTATCACACAATCGTAAAATGTTAATTCACTTACCAAACCTTCAATTCCCAACTGCGGTGCAAACGAAGCATTACGAACACCTAGCAAGCGACGACTGGCCGACATGTTTCGCGCTTGCTCTATATAATTTACGAATTATTATGAGCGCGTATCGACGGCCTACTACGAAACCATGTTGCTTTTGTAGTAACATGCTATTATCTTTCAGGCGAGCAGGATGTTGTCTTGTCGCCTCTGTTAGTGACGTCACAAGCGGGAGTTTTATTTCGCGCGCACATTTGCGGATTCAGAGAGATGACAGTGCACGCACATATGAAGACGGTGCCAGAATAATGCCTTTCATTGCAAGTTTACGAAGACACTATGTAATGTATTTTAAAAGCTTAAGTGTCTAAAACTCCAAAAAAACCAAATGTGAACTCAAAGTTCACGGAGATATATCCAACTATTTATAACCTGTGCTTAAACACAAGTCGGGTAGAATCAAAGAGCTCTTTAATCATTATATTCCCCAATTATCTCAAAATGCAAATAACTTTCGGCAAAAACAGGTAAATTGAAATTTCTACTCGCTCAATTTGTCGTAATTCAACCAATTTTCCTCTTCCACTTACTCGGTCTCACGTTGCTATTTTTTCCTCCCATTTAGGGGATCTCTCTTCTTTCAGGCTGTCTCAATCTAGTTATGCGGTCTGATCTCACTCTTAGCGGGTTGCAACGTTTTAAATGAATGAAAATCTACATATGTTTATTCAGTCTCTTTGTCAGCCCCGTTGCGGGTGGCAGGATGAATTTTTGATTGCTTACAATGTTCAAATTTCATTAGTTTTTCTAGCCAGCAAATGACCATTGTCAACATAGCGGAGAGGACCACATTTCAACAGTCTGGCTACATAGGGTGATACAGTTTCCACCATGAACGGCGGACCGGCCTTCATGACCGGCCCTACTTTTAGCGTTTGGCAAACTGTCAATAGTTTTCTTTTTAGCTCATACTATTAAGAAAAAAGCACAAAATATGGGACAAATAAACATACCCAACCAGAAAATTCGTAGTTAAACCGCCCAATCAGATTGTGGTTTCTTTATCTGTGTGCCAGGCGATGTTCTTTTTCTTGTAATTTTCAAACTTTGCCTTCTGTTAATTTTACTTCAGAGTCGTGTTAGATTGAAACATTCTTGAACAATTTTAAGAATTATCTTTTTAAAATCAGGTTGACCTAACATGACTTTAAACATCATGAACTTACAAATAAATGGAACTTGAAAATTTTCAATTCAAGAATGGGATTCGCTGACTCAGTCCTAACCTATAACTGGTAAGAAAAGAAATATAGTTGAATGTTGTTGAAAGTTTAAATTTGTGTCATTTACGATTCATATATTAAGTGCATGTCAAACGTTAGGTGTCTTCACGCCTTTGCTGACTTTAATAAATTCACCGCCATTTAGGTGGGTATAGGCGCATATCCTCAGAAGCAACAGAACTTTCTAATCTCTCGTCGACAGAAATGATTGGTCGTTGGAAACAGGCTTGAGTCGCAGGCAGAGCTAAAAGAGATCTCCTTGAAACAAAGACTTGAATGCTTCTCCTTCTGATTACAGAGAAGAACTTATCACCCACGGTACCATTTTGTTATCAATGAGTTAATTTGTCCTTTAAAACAAAGACATGAATGCTTCTCTTTCCGATTACAGAGAAGAACTTACCACCCATGGTACATTTTGTTATCGATGAGTTGATTTGGCAAGTGTCAAAAGAGTGCGATTCATTTGAATGATTAGTAAGATCACAATTTGCCGGCATTGGCGGTACAAGGGTCAATATTTAATGAGTACGGAAATACGGATTCAAGGCAAGCTCGTCTCAAATTTCCCACAACAGAAAATTTTATTGAGCCATTTTCAAATAGCGGCCTAGACCTAGGTGGTTTCCGTCTGAGTATATTGCAATTGTATAATAAAGGACTGTGTTTGGTAATAAAAAAAATATGTCGCTAAATACCGGCTAAGAATGATTTATATCCAGTCTGCGTTGTCTGATTTTGTTTTGCAGGCCCTAAAATTAACGGCTTCGAAATAACAAGAAGGAAACGAAAACAAACAGTTAAATTAAGTACGTAAATTATTTATGTTTCGAGTCTTCACAATTGCCAAAAGTATTCCATTTTTGTCCATACATCATCACGTATAAATTCAATTGGAATAGTGTGGACAGAATATAAAATGTTAAGCCACAGCAGTTTTGCTGGAAAAGACAACATGGGCCCATTCTTAGAGAAAGAAAGAATTCAACATGGACAATAATTTTCCTATTCCCGGTGTGCAATGCACCGCTGGCAACTGATGAAAATATTAAACACAGAGGTTTCCCAAATATAGCGTGAGATGCGACAAGCCTAAGCTGTAATTATACCAAACAATATTTGCATCTCCTGAAAGCAATTGAAAAGCAATGTAATATATTTGAATATTAGAATCATAAATATCTCATTGAGCGACATTTTTTACCATAGCAAACTGTGACATGGTTGCCTTTGAAGTAAGACAGAAAAATAAGGCTGGAATGATTCGATTAGGGATTAACTGAACTAACAAAAATAGTCTTTTAGCCTAAAAATGAATAAGTCCTTAAGGTGCTGTTTAACCCTTTCTTCGCCTGCACAAGAGTAATTACGATCGAAACACTGCGTTCAAATGTGCGATCAGCACCAAACATGATTGTGAAATTTGTAAGGTATACCTGAGAAAAGGATGGTTTCTAAATAGTTATGAACGCGACTGAACGCAAGAGAAAACACATTGCGCGGCGGTTATATGCATATGTCAGTCAAAGACACAATAGCAAGTGTTAAGTTAAGGAGTGAAGAGGTAAAAACAACATGCTAACCTCAAACCGTACGAGCTTCCACCGCGGCATTTCAGTTTCCGGCTGACAATTTACTTTACAAACATAATGTGTCCTTTTGCCAATGAGCAGAAGCCATGTGTCTTTAAAAGAAAGATTTTTTCTTGGTTTTGAAAAGTTACAGATATAAGGTGGTTCTGGTTGCTTGAAATTGGAATATCAAAATTCGTTGTTATTCGACCAGGGGCAAACGCCATCTGTTGTGTTTTCTCTACTGCTCTTCTTATCCAATCAGAAACCGAGGAAAACTTCGACAGATGTTTACCCAAATTAGCGTCGCTGGTGAGTCTTAGTAATGAAAACGGCTTCACACATTTTTATTAGATTTAATTTTTTACTTTGTGAGAAATTCCAACAATTAAAGAGCTTGGTGAGCCTTTGATGTTCAAATTAACTAAGTTCAACATAAAAATTTTCACCTGCTTTTATTATTTTGATCTCAGTTTTTTGAAAATTAACAAAGCCCGCTTTTCGAAATGACTGCAACGAAGTTAACAGTTATGGTTGGGAAATGGGCTCCAAAAAGGTAAACAGATAACACAGCGGGTAAAACTCTCTTAGTAGACAAATAAGGCAAGAGCAAGGTAAGTAGAAATAAACTATTTTCTCTTAAAACGTTCTGTTTTTGCCGTTGATTTGTTAAAATGTGTCTGACCAATCGAGAGTAAATGGGAAGTTTTCCTCGAGGTACGGAGAGTGAAATTAAATTTGATGTCGTAAAAATATTGATTTTCAAGAAAGAATTACAAAGAATTAATAAGGCAGGAAAAGTATTGGTACATGAAGCCAAAACTGTCGTGAAAGAAACCGCTTAATTAAACCTTCTTAAATAGCCAGGATTAAAATTTATTTTGTGGCACGGATAAAAGCCTGGATTAAATGTTCTGCTGTTGTGTCGATCTTCATTTACGCTGATGTTTGGTTCGATATATGCTTTTGACCAACATGTCAGTTAAGTATTAAGGAAGCGTTGGTATTGTACAAGAAAACAATCGCTATCTAAAGTGAAATGGAAAGAAAAATGAAAAATTAATTCAGTAGCTGTTTTGGTTTCTGGTTTAAACATGTCTTTGGTGAATTCTGTCCTCTTACCCACTTTACATATTCATTGCTTTATGAAAACAGCTGTCTTCACAAGGTACACTTAACAAACAATACTAAGCTTACGGGCGAAAGGTCCACGGTTAAAAATAACAATAAAAAAAATATGATAAACATCGCGCGGCACACCAGAACTACATAGCCTAACCTTAGCTCTTTTTGAACCTCGTGTCAGTTTAGTGAGACGTATCAGAATCGACGGAGCATGTTTATCCTCCAAAATATCGTAAAAGAGTGGCAGTACTCGTTTTGACTTGAATGTATTTGTATCTTCTTTGATATATCTCGATAATCTTCTGTTTGGATTAGGTTTTACATTTTACATGGCGAAATTAGGAAGCAGAAGGGGGTCGTAGCCTCGTAAGGTGCGAATAACCCCCACCCTCTGGTATGAAAAATAATTTAAGATATAGACGGCATTGAGATAAAATATTCCGTAGTCCTCCTAAATTCCAATGAAGAGAAGGGTCACTCCCCTGGTAAAGAGATGTTACCTTCACCCCTCAGTTTCGGGTTCTGATCAATGTATTTACCGAAACATTTTACAAGTTTGTTGGAGCTATTTATCCTTGTATCACTACAAAGTATTTCAAAGAAAAATTTTTAGCATAATTTTTTTATACACAGTATTCAGTTGAATGTAAATACCACCTGCAACGAATCATTAATTCACTCGGTCAGAAATTTAGTGTCAGCCAAAAACAATCTCGTTGATGAGTTGGAATGTGGCCTAAACAATAATTATTACCTACCTTAACGCTCTTTGCCGAGTTCGTCAAGTTCACAAAGCAAAGCGGAAGAGCTGAATTTGAGAAGACTGTGAATTGATAAATCCAACTTAGTTAGAAGCTGGAAGATTTGAATCTTGGAAACAGCTCCACATGCAGGAAACACCGACATGTTTCTTGCTCGTCCTTCTTAATAAGCTGTACATTACAAGTTTAGACTCGAGCGGTTTGAATAGTCACTAATTTATGTCCTCAAAGTAAATCTTATCTTTTGATGGAAAGTTTAATCAAAATCAAGATTGGCCGAGAACATCCAATGAGAAGGTTGAGATCCACTGGTGACAATGTAATAAATAATTCAACTTTGAGAATTCAGTTTTTTCTTGCTGAAAGCTATTGAACAATTTTTTTGGTCCATTATCAGGCCTTGTGATTCCACTTATTAATAGAGAAGTTTGGTCATTACTTCAAACCTTAAAGTCCTTTGTAGGAAAATGCTAACTTAAGACTTTCTATCCAAGGGGCAGACAGCTATGGCTGTCTTAATTTTAAACAGTAACCTCTGCTTGTCATTTAAGTAAAATATTTAACATAACATGATTTAAATGTATCCAGAATTAGTTTGGTGTTTACGTGATTAGTTTTGTTTTATAAAAATCGAATTTTAACTAGTTCCAGATATGACTATGTTAAACTGACTGTTAACTCAAAGCGCTGTTAGCTCAACTTAGAATAACCTCTCTCTTAACATAAGGTTCAGTGGCTTTCAAAGAAAATGATAACTTATTGAAATAAATAATAAGTATTAACGTTGTAATGGTTTTCGAGGACTCTGCTTGAGAGCAAGAGTGTATTGGAATAAAAAAAAATTGGGTTTAGTTTTCTCATGGATTCTTTTTTTTTTGAGACAGCTCAACTTGGCCATTTTCCACAAAGAAAATGAGATATTTCACATTTTAGGTGGAGTTGTCTGCCTCTCAAACTTTGCTAGTAAACCCTAAAAAAAAGCTTTCTAGGGACTAAAGTTTACGTGAGATGGAAGACAACTTTATATACAGTAAACTGACTTAAAACAAGAGTTCACACTTACTTGTCTCACACTGAATGGAACCGGAGGAGAGTGAAAGCTGACACAACCTCTTTGGACCTCCTTGTCTCTAACAAACTCAATCTCTAAACTCATTATTCTAATAACGAGCTTAAAAACAACTCAGTTTCTTAGTTAAAGTTCTAAAAATAAACGTGCATTGTAAAATAAACCAATAAAAGACACCGCTTGGTGTCGGCAAAGAGTTTGACATCAACCGCAGTGATCATTAGTTTTGCGGTCGCACCCGTAATTTAATACAGATTTTATTTATCTTACTGAGGTCAATGCTTGTGACGAAGAGAAACTAAAGGCTCATCGTAAATGAGATACTAGGATTTCTTGGCTCTGATCAGGTAATTTTAAACATTATAATTTGTCACGATATTATATAACTTCCCAACTGTGACAATTCCGAGCTGATGGAAACTATGAATACAAAATACGTCACACCGGTAGTAAATGATACATGTTAAAAAAACAAACGTCGCTGAAACATTCTCAATCTTTATTCTGGAAAACCACTCTTTTTTTTAACAACTGCCCACCGAGAAAATAAAGAAATTATCATAAAAAGTTCTGTCAAGTTAAATCCAATTTAACGACAGTCAAATTTCGTTTGCACTAAGAAACATTTCCAAGTTCCACGTTTCTTATTATTGAACAAATGCCCCTTGACTGATTACAGTGTAAACCACTATTAACATATCTATTTTTAGCTGTGATCAGTTGAGACAATTTCAGTAGTGTAATAAGGTGATTAAGCTCTGATTTGGGGAAAATCAATTAAACTTCTTTGCCCTGCTTAAGCTTCTCTCTGACTTTGCTCTTTAAAAGAATATATTATGCAATAACGCTCTCTTATCAATATCAACTGGTCTTATGAGTTATGGTGATAAACAAATCTGACTCCCTCTGCGCGCTAGTCCGATTTTAGTAATGGTAATAGTAATAATTTATTTATTGTTAATAAGGTGAGAAGTGGTCGCCCAATCTTCCGAGCAACAATTTTGTTATAACTCGTATGATTACAGACTGAATCGGACGACATGAAGTCATATTTACATTAATCATAAACATTACAACTCCCAAGAAAAGAAAAAAAAGTTATGAAAGAAAGGGAAAATTTGCATCAAGAGAAAGCCACAATTTAGCAGTCTGTGCACTGTTTCTGTGGTGATTGAAACCAAGGTTGTAATTGGCTAATTTAAACTACAACTTTGAATGTGATGGTTGATTTTAACTACAACTTTGAATGTTATTGGCTTATTAAAATGTCCAATAACAACTTGGCACGTGAATTAGTGGAAAATAGGATTTTTTTAAACCAATCACAATCAAGAAAATTGTAATTTTTATCATTAAGTCAGTAATCACCATTCTTGGTTCTTTGAGAACAAATTTGAATTGTTACTAAAAGTTTTTCAGGTTTCTAACTTTCACCATAACTACTACGTTTAATACCATTTGTATTTCAATACGATGGACACTAAGTCTTCTCCATTTCTATCAAAAAATAAATCTGAACAATTGTCCATGCAACTTGAATCAGAATTATTTTTAAGTCAACATAACTTTGATCTGAGTTAAGCCTCACCTCAAAGAGGAAATATTTAGTAAAGTGAGGCTAGTAGAAAATAACCTGACGCAGATAAGGTATGAAAAGCCATTAATTTCTTCCATCATCATCTGAAACCGATTTCAACCTCTTGGCACTAGGTGGTGCATCTGTGGGATCTTGAGGATCTTCTACCAGCTTATTATGAACATCCATTAGGCCTTTAAAATACTTCACAGTTCTGACTTTCAGCTCCAAGGTGGCATCATCATCAACTACAAAAATGGTCCTTGGGTGTTGCTGGAAGGCAGACACAGTGCACATGTGATTGACTCCTTCCTCTGTTGCACATCGCAGGGCATATGCTTTGTGTACACCAGTAATCAGAATAAGAACCTGATGGATATAAAAATGATTGTTAATTAGTCAAATTTCAAAACCTGCCCAGGATGTATTCCACGCTAAAATCTTGACAAGAAAAAGAAATGGCAAATGTGAAAAGAAACAACTAACGTGTGATACATAGTAAAAAAGTCTCAGCTTAACTCATCATACCTCAACCTAATATGGTTAGATTACACACCCAAGAAAGATGGATATGACACTTATCATTCTACATTGTATCCTGAATTCTGTGTGGACACCCTAAAATGTTGAACAATACTTCGGCTGTTTGTAATCCTGAGCAGACAGGCACTAAAGAATAATTATT